GGGTACTGCCGCAGGCGTTTATGAACTATTTTTTATGAAATGTCTTTGTTTTTGCCATTTTAGGCTTATTTCAATGGGTCTGAGTAGACTTTAAAATAGAATAAAAATTGAAGCGAAAATTTGCAAGTCCTGAAATTTCACCTGACATGTTTTTTCACCCATTTTAATCGATTAATCATAAAATTTCCCGAATCGAACCGTACCACTTAGGCACCTTCCCTTGTTAAATGCTTCAGCTATTGCTATGGTTTTAACCATTCATGAAAAATATTTTTTGTGTTAATTTCCCGTTCTCGATATCTAAGGAAATTAACAATTGATATTTTTATGGCTATGACTTTTACAAGATAAATATCAAGATTTTGTCTCAGTCAAAGTTCCATAAGCAATTTTAGACTTTTCCGTGAGCGCTGTAGCTTCTGGTGGAGTAATATCTCGACAACGATAAGTGTATAAGGCAAACAAAATGCCACCCAAAGTGATTGACAAATATGATACAATAATTAGGATCCAAAAGTTTTCCAACGCAGGAATAAAAGCAACTACAGTGAATTTGGTCAATTCAGCGAAAATATTTACACTGGTTTGTACTCCGCCAATTAAAGCCGGTTTTGTGGATTGTGTTTGAATCAATTGGTTAACTGACAAGTCAATAGTCCAAAGACCAGCACGAGAAACAGCGATACCAATGAGGAACAGAATAATTGGAGCAGTCATAGAACCCCAGTTCCATCCGAACCAATTTGGACTGATAGCGATTACAAGACATAATGATAGAGCAAGTAAATCAATTGTGTATCCAATAAGACCAGTTAATCGAAGGCCAATACGTGCTGCAGACCATTGGAAAACCAGGGTACCCAGAATACCGAAAATAGCTCCAAATAAGCTTACTATTCCAATGAGTCCTTCCTCAACACCTTGACTTGTCATGAAACCAACGGTAACTGAATCAAAGCCCAAAATTGAAAGATAAACTAAACCAAAGGCTACTCCAGGAAGAGAAAAGGATTTCCAATATTTTTTCAAAGCATCGAAGTCAAAGAAGCTCAGTTCGTTGCTTAGATCAGGCTTATCTTTTTTGGGCTCCAAAAGAGCAGGAATGCCTTGATTGTAAAGGGATTTGAGAACTGCATATTCGCCAAATCCTGAGAAAGCATTCCAGACCAAGAAAAACACAGCAGATGCTAATTCTGAGAATTGCATCAGAAAACCGACCAGGAAAGGAGCAACAGTTTGACATGATAAGTCTATTCGCCTTAACATGGCATTTAGATCTGTTGGAAAAGGGAGAAAACATAGAAATGTCAATTAGCAGGATTTTCATTAATCAATTGGTTCATTCTTGTTTTGATTTGACTTATCAAACTATCCATGAGCTAGATATAACTGATTAACAAAGTTACGTGATCAAATTTAACATGAGCCAAATAGTAAACAGGAGTTTGAACTCATTAGGCTCATTCACTGATGAAAGTAATAAATAAAAAAACATAGTAGAGATCTCATTTTGATTAGATATTGCAACCACTGTGATCGATTCAAATAGCTTATCGATATTATAATACCGGAAGATTTCCAATTTTTGTTGGATTTTTCCGTTCATCTAGCATCGACAAGTATTTGAAGGTAAACAGAGTTTTTTATCACTGGAACCATGATTTATCTATACAACTCGCTCATCGCTCATTCAATCTAAAGCTTAGTGCAAAAGTATTGGGAAAATTCAATTTAACTATGAATAGTGACGATTTGACTGTATTTATCAGGGTTTTGAGTTCAAACACAAATTGCTAACTCACTTTAAAACATTGATTTGAATAGATATCTCTAAGATCTCTTATTAATCAGTTAACTGCCATGTTTTGGACGATTAACCTTAAAAATAGAGATGAAAACATGAAGTTCAAGTTTTCATTAACTGGATCTTGAATATCTCATAGTAAGAACAAGATGCAATATTAAAATCGGGCCTAATTAATCTTCAAAAATAAGCTGTGAAACTAAACTTTGATTATCGAGGGATATTTTTTAAATTTTCAATTGAAAATTTGTGAAAGTTCAATTCCCAATACTTTTGCTACATTACAACAAGGGAAGGACACCAATTTAATGCTTGTAAGCTTTATAATGAGGATTTCAAATTATATGATCAATGCCTTTTGGAAACATGAGAAATATTATTAAAGCAGGATGAACAAATACTAGCTCTTGACCTTGATAGAAATCTCGATCCATCATCAATATATATTCGTATAACCTGGACTCACCTGTTAATCTCTTTTCATCTTCAGCTAGCGTCACGAGCCAATCTTTTTCCAGGCAAAGCGTATAGCCAGCGCTCGTTACTTGGGAGATTAAAGAAAATCCAACCAATACGATGGGTGCTACGAATGCTATAGCCTACAAAAATACAGAAAAATCGATTATCATTCTTATGATATTTGTAATAGTTTACTCATCAGGATAGGTTTTAGAGCCTCAACAAATACTTGCAACAAAAACATTGCAATTTGAGAGTTACATTAAATAAAGCTCAGTAAACACGAAATCCTCTTGAATGGAAATTAAGTTGAAATGAGATAAAATTAATTTACATTTCTAATTGATTCGTCCTCAATCTGGTCTTGGAGAAAGAAAAGAGCGACAAAAGCTGAACTGATAACCACAGCACCATTCTGAATGATGAGACATATTTTTACTTCTTGAATCCTTGAAGCTTTTGTTATCCAACGACCAAATATTGGAGCCAAAATAATAGTAGCACTTGATGCGAGGATTCCTTGGATAGCAGTTAACAATAACGATGAAGGATACAATTTAATCAAATATAGTCCGATTGCAAATTCCCAAGTTCGATCACCCTGTATCCAACAAACGAAACGACCACCAAAAATGAATCACAAAACACATTTCCATTGTAAAGTAAGATTTTTGCACCAAATGAAAAAAGAAACAAAATGTTAGACTGATTCAGAGACGGTAATCGATTCGCAACTTAGGCAATAATCAGAATTAAATATACTTTCGTGGGACAATTAACACTGAAATCAACACTCAGAGCTTAATATAAATGTATTAAAAATTAATATCAATGTTTAATGTCATAAACTTTTCATTTCTTCACTTACAAGACTTGTTAGAGCAATGCTCTCTCACTCCACCTGGTAACATTATTTAACAGAGTGCCTCAATGTTTCTGATTATAACTATAAATTACATTTCAAATGTTTTAATTTAAATACTAACCCATGATGACAATAAACGATTTAGATATAATTTATAACGATAGTCCATAATACAAATCAGTCAGCGTAGTAATAATTATTGGCTTATCCAGCAAGCAAGTAAACATTAAGAGGTAAAATTGTAACATGAAACGTTTAAGAAGAAATGAACTGTAAACCAAATTGTCTTCGCTATTTATTTAAATTGCTACTTTGCTTTGTTACCTCTCTAAATTGTTTTTAATTTACTTATGTATTAACTCACATTGATTAACTTGTTTTTGTTTTCCTAGTTTCTCACTGAACAATCAATATCTCACTCAGTGAGCTACAATTTTTCCATCAAATTTATCTTCTATTATTTCATTGATTTGCAGTGACGATAAAGTTAGTCACATTGACTGGATTAATTGCTCAGCTTTACCGTCATGGTTAATCCTTGATGTTGATCAGTCCTAAACAGAATCGAGAAAGTAAATCATCTGAACAGTAACAGCATATTGAGACTCGATGATTGATAATTCATTATAAAACCAGACAAAAGACGCATAGAAACTACTAGATTGTTTACAACTTAACTAATAAGCTTAACAATTAACTCCTTTCTGATTAAGTTAAACCATTTAATCAAAAGAGTTAATTAATACCATAATTTGCTTTAAAACAATAGACTTTTCTTTCCGTCTGTCTAAAACTGATTACGATGATTTATCATCATTTGTATCAAATGATTTTTGATTGTTTATGATCAATTCAAAAGGATTTGATTCCACAAATGGAGTAAATATAATGGATGATTAAAAGAGAGTTATCATCAAGTTTCAACAGGAAATATCAAGGTGCAGGTTAAGTCAAGATTTGCTGATTGTTTCTATGTAAGGCTGATGTCAAGTGACAAAGTCGATCACAGAAGCTAATGTTGATCACCTTTGATTAGTTCAGCCATGAACATGAATAGATCAGCTTCAACCAAATGCCAAGAAATTATCTTTATGATTTTTATTATAAATCTGTGTCTAACGGTTTAGCTCGAATACAATGGAATTAGTTTAATCTGCCAAAAATGTGAGAAATGAAGACTTCTGTGCTTTAACATGACTTTACGATTTTATTGTTGAAAATCATTTGTAAATTGTGACACTGGATTTGAATCTGAAAAATTAAAAAACAAACAAATTAACTTGATAAACTTTAACAAATTTCGGAATCAAATATGAAAATATTAGCTTCCAAAAAATTCAACAGGTGCAGCAACGATTTGATGATGATTTTGACTGTGTTGGTTATAAATTTCAGGACGCAATAGGCAATTGAAGAAAGATTTAAATAAGCTTTGTTATCACTGTTTGATCCGAGGAAGATTTGGATAATAAATAGAAATGGTAAAGAATTGTGAAATTGACCTTTTCAATCAATCATGAACAAGTTTCATTCGATTGAAGCAACTGCCAATAAAGGTATTTTTCTTCATCAGAGATTTCATGGGATGAGATTAATTGACGATACTTGCAAACTCTGAAAGGCACTTTGACGAAATTGAAACCTTTGTGATGATGAAGTTTGATATGAGCTTTGGAAGCAACCAGACCAGTTAAATAAATATCTTCCATTCGTAAAAAATTGGTTGTTAATGAAGCTTGGTACAATTTTGTATATAAATTAGTTGCTCGGTTGACTAACAAATAAGCAGTTCCACTGAGATAATTAGGAAAATATCGACCAGGATATTGATTTATTGGGACAAACCATTTGTTCTTCTCATCACGAATTGGTTTTGCTTTTGAGTATAAATGACCATGAAGACCTGGTTCAAGTTTAGGTATCGATGTAAATAACAAAGGTACATTGATCCACATATCACTGTCTGTTTTGAGTATGGAAATAGCATCTGGACAATAGGCTGATGCCCAATCGATCATAGATAGAGATTTCCTGGTTAAATTATCATAACTATCTACAAATGATGAATCAATAATCAAATCTCGTTCTAGGGATGCTTCCAAGGATACCATTCGCATTATTTCCTCATCTTCAGATCGAGCAATCAGAAAACCATAAGACAGACCAGGTAATTGGTAAGAACCCCAAGTTTGCCGAATAACATCTCTAGTCTCTCGATTTTCAGGTCCAACCATGATAAGTATAATTAATTTTTTGATTCCTGGTGGGCAAATTTTGTCACCGATACTCGTATAGCTGGAGTTAGCTTGGTTGGTCTCGTTTAAAGTTCTGATTAGTTGAAACGGGAAATCACTATTCGGGGTGACTTGATCCTGGAAATTAGTAAACTGTCGGTGGTGAACTGAGTATATTTGACGAGGTAATGTTGGGTTTGTTTGGTTGAGAATGTGAATAATACAAATAACCATAAGAATTGGGAGCAAAGTTAAGAACAGTTTGCTTTTATTTCCCATCGAAGAAATTTGTTGAAAGATTATCTGCCTCATTGAACGCGCTCAAAGAGCAACTTGCTTTTTGTCCAAAATTCATCAGAAACATTAAAAACTTTTGGTTGTCTCAAAGGTCACAATAATTGACTGATTTCAAACTTTCCATGATGATAGCAGGAATGTTTTATGATGTGTCTATTTACAGCTGTTAAATTGGAGCAATCAGGATGACTAGTAACTTTTATCAATGTATCAGTAGAAATGTCATGATATCAGGCGTAATTTGTGTCTGCAAAAACAGATTAAAAAGAAAAATATATCAATAAGATGATTATTCAGCAGCATACGAAAATACAGGTGAATACAATGGACATTTTGAATAATAGAGCAATTATCAAGTTTTATTGATTCAAAGAATCAATCGGAGTTAGTTGGTTGGTGCACAAATAAATTATTTTTAAGGATAGATTCACATTGGAGACAAGCAAAACAACAGTGAAAAGGATTGATGAGCTAACTTTCACAACAATTCAAATTTGAAAAATTGTTAACAAGCTGGTAAAATAATTAGAGGTGATAATATTATAGAAACATATGATATACCAATTAAATGAAACAAAACATCAAGGTCTATGAGAAAAAACGTCGTGATTGAATCAATTCGTGAGAAAGTTATAATTCACCGTTACAGTGAGAACATATTTTGACTTTGAATTTTTGATGAAAAGTGAGTGAAAGAAAGAAAAAGAGGAAAACAATGAGTTTTATTTTGATTAACGTTTTATAATGAAACAGAATAGAGCACAAAATAAGAGAACACTGGAAAATGGAAAAAAATACTGATAAATTCAATTAAGTTACCCCTAATTGAGAACAGATGAACAAAGAACAAGAAAAAAATGCAAATAAAAATGGTAAAGGAAGGAAGAGTAACAACTAAAAAGGTCAACTTTGAGTAACAGTTGAAAAATTGAAGTGAAAAACAGTTTCTATCAAGATAACAAATTGTGACAGAAATAACTTATAACTTATATTTTCAACGGTTATTTTTGATTTTCTAGTCTCAAATTAATCCCTTTACAATCATTGGTCAAATCAACACTGACTTTGAATTTCGTCTATTTTTAACCGATTTTGTAAAATCTTTAGACAACCAACTTTCTTATTCATTTGATCACCAAAGCCTAGAATGACAAAACGATCTTTTCTTTGTTAATCCAATGTGTGTTATCCTCCATATTTGAGAAGTTTCTGCGTCATTTTGAAGACTTCAAGACATCAACAGTGCTTATTCCAAATCATGGAATGTGAATCATCAACATTCTTGTTCTAAACTCTGCATGTTTGTAGAAGTGTTAGAAGATAAAATATAAAATTGTGATGTTAATCAACGTTCTTTGGTCTTGTTGGTGTCAACACTTACGAAAATTCACTTTGGAATCAATGCAGTAATAACCAGATGATCAAGAATGTCTCTTTCAAGCCTTGAAAGCCTTAATGGTTCAGCTGAATATTGTCATTGCTGTGATTAGAGACGTTAAATTTTCTTAAAACGATGTCGAGTCAAATGGATGGTGAATTACAAATGATTGAAAACATTGTTTAAGGTAACTATTAGTTAAAGATTGGTTGAGACAGATGGAAATATTGTAACCATCACTGCCAAAAGTTTTTTTTACACTAACCATGCATAGACAGTTTGATGACAAGGCCAAGGGATGGAAATCACGATGAGTAACGAAGAAAAATTTCCAAAGCTGAGTTATTTTCGTGTTGAATCAGTAATGAAGTGTATAAAATTACTCTCATGATTCTTATTGTTTTTACTTTCTTTTTTCTAACCTTTTTTTCGTGTATTTACTTTAGGGAAACTTCATGGGTAAACTATTTACAAGTGATAATGTTGACATAAATTAAGCGAACAGTGTCAAGAAGCTAATTTGGATGCTGTTGGACAATATTCACCATTAATTCAAAGGAAAAGGAAATTAACTAAAGAACCAGCCTAAAGAGGAAAAATAAATGTACCGGTAATGGTTAAAGTAGATTACTGGATGTTTTAACAAGAAAAAAGTGTTTACTTTACGAGCTTCAACCAATCTGCCAAAAAGTCAAAGTGTGACCCTAAACCTAAAGGATACCAATTATATAGCTTTTCCTGCCTCATTATCTGGAAATATCTTTATATTTCTTCAGAAAACTAAACATGATGAGAAAGAGCTTCTCCGCCATTCAAGAATTATTGAGATTCAGAGGTAACGTAATGGATAAAGTTATTAATACATCTGAGGTTTGATTGGTCAATTAAAGAAATGGCTCAACATTTAGAAGACATTAAAGGATCGCTGGTCGAGCTGTTGTACAAAAGATATTTTAACCAAATTAGGATAAACACAGTTATTTGATCCTGAAATAGCAAGCTTACCAATCACTTATATTTACATGGATTACCTAATGATGGATTGGATAATCAGCCAGACTTGGATAGAGATACAAATAGACAGCAATAATTTAGTACCAATTTGCAATCTTCAATGTCAAACTATTCATATCAAGTTCCAGCTTGGACAAAGAGTTCGTACAGTAATTTGCAGTTGGCAACGGAAATGCTCTTGATCCAGTAATGATCTATCTTTAGACTTAATTTGGATCTGATCTTGGAATTGAATGGATATTAAAATTGTTGCATCGATCAAACAACAATGAAATGACAAAATGAATGACAATTACTTATGCCACCAAACTGCTGATGATCATTGTTGATTTTGAATAATTAAGATTAGCATGTCCTTGTCCTGAATGCGATACTAATTGAAAGATTTGGTGAATTCCTCTAATACTGATACTCATCGTTAAAGGTGGTGAGACAATGAAAAATGCATTTCACTAATTGGGTTAATTGATTAGATCATTTATTATTTGTGAAAGGCATAAATCAGACAGAGTTATATGATTTTTTTATGTCACCAACTCATGGAACGCATGAATGATGGACAAAATTTCAAATCTAATTGTTACACATCTTGATCAATAGCCATTAATCAATTTGCTATTTCAAATTAGTGGAAACATGGAATGAAATTACAACTGATAATATAAAATGAAACATTGAGCAACAGTTACAAGATGAAATGGAATACAAATGATGAATAAAACTCATTGCATATTAATAAAAGCGTAGTTATGCACTATGCTAATCATTCCAAGTTGTATGAAAATGATTTACAGGCAATAAGATAAATTAACATGAGCTCAACCCAAATGGTTCAATAAATTTTCATCTAAAATCCTAACATTAAAAAAGAACAAAATCTTTTCATATAAATGATAATTCTCATGATTGTCATGAAAACCTAAAAATAAAAATATTGATCAATAAAACATCACAAGAATCCAACAACCAACCAATATTAGGATATTAACAAATTTCTGGTCAACAGTTGACATGAGTTGCTAATTAACGATGGTTATCTGTTGTACATTGATTGGGTTTACCAGAGACTTAACTAGTAATGGTCAACGTAAAGGTCTAGACTGACCAATAAAGGTGATAATCAATAACAACAATAGCTGTTACCTTAACAATATGGATGTTATTGATGAAATTGTTTCGCTTCATTATTCAAACCATTTAACGATAATATCGATTGTCTAATACATTTTGGATAAAAGATTTACAATGAACTTGAGATTTAACAGCCATTTTGTTCATTCAGTTGATATTTTTTCACCATTTTCAACTTTCTTTTCACTTAATAACAATAATAAATGTCAGATAATGATTGAAAATTTGAAAAATTTATTATCCAACTTGTTTCCTTTCAATTTAATCATTTTCTTTGCATTTGATGAAGTACAATGAATTCATGTGTAATATGTTTGGTAAGTTGATTAGTTTGAATGGTAAGAATAGCCCAAAAGAAACATGTCAATGTCATTGATTTGATTGTTAACAGTTGCCAACTGTCAAGTTCTGGTAAAATTTTGACTCTAATTCATTGTGAAAATGTCAATTTGATGAGACGTTTACACATTAATGATGAGATTAATACAACAATAACAATTAATTGTTGTTACATTTCTCAATAATATAGCTCTTTGAGTTTAACGTTTTTAAATTGTTGGTTGTTTGTTTTAATTTGTTGGCTTAATGTTTTTTTACATTTAAAATGTTTCACTTTTTATTAATCTAATTGTAATGTTAAAGAAACAGTTGATTGAAAAAAATACCAACAGTTTGGTAATTACTAATGGCTAGCAATTAGATTAAGCATTTTTGTAGTTTAATTTCGCGACTTTGTTCTCTACAATAAAACATTCCTGGTTAAATAGTTTATCATTACAATTAGTAAGGTGAACATGAATTGATTTGTACCCGTGGAAAGTGTTGAATGTTAAAGATAATTGCTGAACTTCGAACCAATCAAGCATCTAAATTGGTAAAGAAAATTGTAAAATGAAAAAAAACTCACCTTTTTGTCTTCCAGCTGACAAATTGTAACTATTGACACCAAGCGAGGAACTATCAGAACTTTGTTGATTGCAATTGTGTTGTTGAAACGCTGATTTGTAACTGGATGTAAGCTATATGTGAAACAGAGGTAAAAATAATGAGGTTTACTGGTTGACAGAAATGTGAATTGATTTATTGATGTTCAGCTGTTAACTGGACAACCTTGAATATATTGTGCTTTAGCATTCAGCTGATTATTGGAAATGTAAATCACAATGATTAAGGTTGATTGGGATGAGATTATAAATATATGGGCAGAAATCAGGAGCATCATGAACAACCTAGAAATAGATTCACAATTTAACCTCTAAGAGTTGTTTCTCTGTTTACAGTGGTAAGAGTTTTATGAAAAAATAGATCATCTTACTGATTAATATTGCAGTTGGATCAAAACTATTACTGAAATCGAAGAGAAAGGATAATTCTATTCTTTGATTGAAATTAAATTGACATCTATCTGGAAAATATGAGTAATAGACGAAATTGAAAGATTAAACTTACTTTGGTTTCACTTTTTCTGGTTTACATCGAGAGCATTACCAAGTTTCATTGCACAACACTGGTTTTGAATTTTAACCAGATTGGGTCACAAGAGTTGGTTTACAAATGTGGACAACCAGGAATACACATTTTGTTGTTTGTTGAAACCAAAGAGATTCACTGATAATCAATTATTAATGGCGATCTTATCAGGTTAATTTATCCACTTGTTTGGGCTCCACTAACAGTTATGTTTCATGATATGCCAAGGAACCAATGATTTGGAAAATCAGATAAACCAAATAAACAATGTTTCAACTGATTCTGCTATTTTAGTGGAAGCAGATCTTCAGATTTGAAGAAATAAACAGAAAATTACCAAAATATTTACTTGATAAAGTAAACCACACTAATTGCGATGATGGCTGGTAAGAAAATGTTGAAGCAGGTTGTTACTTCGATTTCAGTAGTTGACACCTTTAATTAACTTTTTTGAATGGACACAATCAGTAGTGGTGAAAGGCACATCAAACAATTAGAAATGTTGTCAGTTTCAAAGCTGAAAAAACGAGACAAGCTTATTAATTTACAATTTGTTTTCTGTTGATTTTGAACGATTATTTTTTTGGTTCGAAAGATGTTCACATGTCAACATTAAGCTGGAAATGCTGGAAAAAAATTCTTCAAATTTATTAACACATATTTCCTGACTGTTAATGAATAGGATGACTTAAGAGTTGGAAGAGTTGAATTTGATTGTCAAAATTTGTTTATTAATACATGATCGACTTGATGTTAAGGTTTGATGGCTGGTTTAAGGCGCCATCGAGTAGCGCTATCTGGCGATGTAAAATTTAGATTAGAACGTTTTTTTTCTGTTTATTTTTGTTTCTTTCAATATGAGTTTTTACTAATTGTGTTTCATTTATTTTTTCACCTTATTATTCAAATTTTATCTCGATTCTGATAGAGTTGATCACATCATGAAACTACGGGGAGAGGCTGTTGACATGAGTGTCGTTACTCAAGTAACAAGTAAGTTTTCTTTTTGTTATTTTCCCGCTACTTCAAGTGTTTTTGCTATTGTTTATTTTGAACATGTGTTTAATCGTCATTCTTTATTTTTCCATTTCTCTACAGGAATTGTCAATTTATTCGCTAAACAATCTAAAACCCTAGTTCTTAAATTTACTCAAGATCACATTTATATTTTGGCTGAACCAGAGGTTACTGAAAGAGCCATGAGATTATGGACCGAAATACCACAGTCTTCCCTATTTCAGCAGTACGAACTTGCTGGTATTCCCCCTGATAACGTTATCTATCTTAAGACTAAGTCAGAAAATTTGATGAACTCTCTCAAAACTTCAGCTTCAAATTGTAGATCTTTAAAGATAAAATTACGCCAAAGAACAACTCCATGTCTATCATTAGAATTTGAACAAACTGTAAGTTTATGCCCAATTCACGAGAGCGATAAGGTTTATTGAATTCGATTTTCTAATCTTCTTTCTTTCTAAAACCAGAGTCAGTTGACCAATAAAAGCCGGATTATATATAATTATATTGATGTCGAAGTGGTTTACAAGAGATACTGGAATCGCTATGAAGAGCCTAATTTACCACCACCTGATGTAATTATTCTCCATCACTAGTTAATTATTCAGCCATACATTTACTAATTTTTGTCTTGAAATTTCATATTTACAGATTACTGCAATTTTACCTCCTGTTGCTCACCTAAAAAGCTTCACAGAAAAATGTCGGAATATTGTTTCATTGCTGAATATTTCTTTGACAGCTTCCCGTGATCTAGTATTTCAAGTTAAAGGAGAATCACTCGAAATAACACGCAAATTTACTAATGTAAACATAGAGGATGACCATAGGAGTTTGGCCTTTCACGCTGCTATTACTGTTGATATTAAAAGAGTAAACAATTTTTTCAAAGCCTTACACCCATCCTCAAATATTCAAGTCTATCTCAATCTTACAGACGAGCGCAATGCGCACTTTTCTTTCCTGCAAGATGGTATTACCGTCCAATTTGTGTTGCCACACATTTCTTGAAATTTTGTATTTTACAAGTTGAAAGTAAAAATTTAATTCTTACTCAATTAATTTACTCAGTTAATTTTATGTTTTACTTCTTTTTTTTACAAAATTACTATGCCAGTAACTGAAATAGTCAATCAATAAAATTAATAATATTAAAATAATTTTATAAAAGAATAATATTAACGATGATGGAATTTGATGAGATAAGCGAATAGTTGCTTGGAGGAAATGAATGGATTAATTTCTTTCGGCACTTTCACCTTGTGGATTTGATCGACGTGCACCGAAAAGATTTGGCCTGGAACGACTTTTAAATAATGGATTAGAGTTTCGAGAGCGCTGTCGTTGATTGATTGGAGCACGTTCGGTGGTTGAAGATTCAGGTGCAGGTCTATCTTCATCAGAGGAATGATTTTCCGATGAACCAGAAATCAAAGGAGCTTCAGTAATAGAATCAGAATTTACTGAAACACTTTCTTCATTATTATTTCTACTTGATTCCTCCTTGTTTGTAATATCAGCTGAAGTTGGCTTTGGAGATGAAGAAGTGGTTTCATCTTCATTTTTGCGCCCTCGCAAGAAATTGGGTCGATTTCGAGTTCTTCCTCTAGACGATAATGAATTGAGTGATCCTGGTCTTCTAAAAGCGGTTCTTTGGGTTGTTTCTGGAGCTACTGTTGTAGTAGTCGTTGTGGTAGTACTTCGGGTCGATGGTGATGGTGATGACCCATAACGTCCACGAGATGAGCCAAATCGCCTTGGAGATGAAGTCGTAGAGGCTGAGAAAGAGGACGATGAGCGAGCAGTTGAAGGAGTAACTGGAGCTAAAGTTGAAGATGATGCAGAGTGTGAACCGTCAGTGTCTTCTTTAACCTCATTGGCCTCAGTGACTCTACCAAAAGGTCGATTAGCTCTGTAAGGTTTACGAAGAGAGTTGCCATAATTTCTTGACCGAGGCTTTGAAGTGGTAGTTGGAGCAGTTGTGGTGGTTGTGGTTGTTGTAGTTGTTGATACTGATGGAGCTTTGGTTCGGTTTAATGTACTTAATCGATTAGATGGAGCACCAAATCGCCTTCTTGAACCAAAACCTGTAACAATAATTAAGTTTTATATTAAAATCATTTTTTCCAATTCGCTACAATCAATAACTAACCTGGTCGACGACCTCGAGAATCATTTGGTTCCTCTGGAGCTTGAGTTGTAGTTGTGGTTGTCGTAGTTGTAGTTGTTGATGGTTTTGATGTTGTTGTGCTTGTTGATGGTGATGTTACGAATGGTGTTGCTGTTGATGACTTTGATTTAGCTAATTGTGATCCAGATGATAAATCTACTTGTAAAGATAAACAAGAATAGGTAAGAATCAACATTAAAAAATGACATCTCATCACTTTAAATTGCAATTAAACTTTGATCATCAATTGTTTGTACAAAAGTATACCAAGTGAAAGGATTTTTGCAATAAAAAAATGGTGATGCTGATGGTCTTAAACTATTAGGTATAATAATGGTTAAGTGACAACAAAAAGCGAAACCAAATAACAATTGTGACTGATCAAAATTAGGTAAATAATAAATGAATGCAAAACAATTTGCATTAACTATTTTCTCCTCTATTGTTACCAGTTTTTGTTTAAATTTTAACCAAGCGATTTGATGAAGCGTGATAAACGCTCTCAACATGATCTTTATTATTAACTCTGATTATATTTATTATCATGATCATTATTATCTAAGCATAAATAATGTTTACTAAAAGCTTGGTATTACCTTTAAATACATCAGGTTATAACCTCATCAGACAAGTGCTCATTTGGTTAATTTGTTTACCCTTTTAAAGTTACAAAAAATGAAAAATGTTAAATTATTGCTAAATTGTATCTTTCATATTGTATTAAGGTAACTATGATTAGCTGAACAATGAGAAAGTAAATGTTAAATTTGTATATTTCATATTTAAATGTCTATTACAATCAACTAATAACTTGACAGGGCAAGCAAAAAAGATACTCAAATCTTTGTTGGTTTAATTTGATTGAAACTAAAATTGAACCCAACAAAATTTAGGTCAGTATTTTGAAGATTGTTTAGTTAACTGTCGACATAACCAACAAATAGAGATTTTTAATTTAATTTAACTCTAACATCTTAAGATATTTTCAATGCTGAATAAGATCTTTGCTCCATTTATTGCATTACAATCAAAACTCGTTCCGGGATTGGATATTTTTGCTCATCAATTCCAATTTATTCAAGAAATTTTCAAAAATTTTCTTCCATTTATCTCTCAATATTTATCGAGCAATATCGGCTCATGCCCATGAAATCGTTCGAAGATGGAAATTTTATCTTTGGTTATTGTTGCTTTTTGCAAACTTCACTTCAATTGAGAAATATTTTCGAGACGAATTTTTTTCTTATGATTTCTTCAGAAATTTATAGCAAGTTCCAACATGCTACAGATTTATCTACTTGTTACATGATTGGTATATTTTTTGGATTGGAATCTTTCTGTTGCTTATATGCTGTGTTTGTATGAAAAGAAACGTTGTTTGAAGCGCATTTGGAAGCTGTAGTGGAAGTTCATTTAAAATTTGTTTTTGACGTGAATTTCGTATTTGAAAAGTTTGAGGCCAAAAAAGTTTTCGCAGTCGACAGGATTCGAACCTGTGCGGGAAAATCCCAATGGATTTCAAGTCCATCGCCTTAACCACTCGGCCACGACTGCTGGTATAACATGCTGAAGAAACGGAATGAAAAACTACATTCAAACATCAGTTTCTGTTGAACGTTCATAAACAATCAGCCGATTAAGAGTGATTGATGAGTTTCAATGAGAAGTCATGATTGTTGAATATGTTCAGAAACAGTTTATAACGTTACAACGTCAATCTGACTAATGTCTTTGATAAACAAGTGCTGACCGAGTGGTTAAGGCGGTGGGTTATAAATCTATTGGAATTTAGTCCACACAGGTGGACAGATTTATTTTTCATCGCAAAAACCTTTTTATTATTAAATTGATGAAACTTGAAACCAGACAGCTAACAGTAAATGCAAGTGCATTTTACAAGGTTAATAATTTTCTTGATGAAACTATGCAACATCTTGGAAATGATGAGACTTTTAAAGTAAACTTTTCAACATTAATAATGAACCAATCTGTTTTCCTGATTAAATTTTAGTTTTAACTTTGATTAAGACTCAGATCATTTACAGCTTATATTTTTGGCCGTTAAAAGTATTTCACTCTTAAAAGTCGAATGTTTGTTTTTTTAACAAAATCATGATCATTTTCTGTACAGTTTTAGTGTTGATTTTATATGCAAATCTTGTATCAACAGACATCGAGGATCTAACAGAACAACACGAAAAAGTTGCTTACGGCTATTCGTATCATGAACCAGACGAATATCCTTTTTTCGTTTCTCTTCAAGAAAAATATCCCTCTAGCACAACAGGATACCGTCACTTTTGCGGTGGATCCTTAATAGGTAGGCAAATCGTGGTAACAGCAGGTCATTGTGTTGAAGAGTAAGTTTCAAATGATAACCCAAATGTATCCTAAAAGATCCTAACTCGTTGTATCCCTTTAGTGAAGATGACATTGATGAAATTCGGATTTTACCAAACTATCGAAATTCGCCTTTTATAGAGGAGTGGGATCTAACCTTCAAAATTTCACGTTATGTGATACATCCATATTATATGCGGTCAAACAACGTCTCTAAAAATGACATTGCTGTTATACTAATGGACCAACCTGATCCTCGACCTCGTGCAACTATCAGACTACCCATCACTGAAACTGTACCTCTTTGTGAACCAGTTACATTAATAGGCTTTGGCTTAATTGAAACCGGTGTGTTGCCAGATGAATTGCGGTCAGCGGTTTTATTCAGGCTTACTGATGAAATGTGCAATCATTACAACTTCCCTGGTGATTTTACTCCAGTTTTAGATCTTTGTACTGCTAATGCCATTGGATCGGGTGTATGTAACGGTGACTCAGGCGGACCTTTAATTAGGAAACTTGGTAATAATAGTTATTTACAGGGTGTAGCAACTAACTCAGCCGATGAATGTGGCATTGATCCCATTACTAATTTTGTTAATGTTCCTCAGTATTTGACTTTCATTAATGCTGCTATGGTACTATTAACTCGTGATGAATTGAAATCTAATCAAAATGAATATGTTCAACATTCAATGGACTCAAATGATTCAAATATGACAAATGAAATGGCCGAATTAAATTCATTTATTGTATCATTGGAACATTAAAAATTTTGGTTTCTTTTCGAGATTCAATTCAAGACAGGAGTCACAGGATTTTTTAAATTGTGTTTCTGGTCGTTATAGTCTATAAAAACAATTGGAGCCTCCGATCATGACTGATCGTAATTTTTTTCACTGAATACAATAAATTAAATCCATATTTAAGACTCAAATTCTTGATGAAAAACCATCGTCAATGAACAAAACTAAAAATAAAATAAAATCTGATTCAACAGCTGAACAAAATTAAATCTAACAAGCTTAATAATTTGCTTCCCTTCACAAAGCTTTTGACTGTTTGCCCCACCACCCTGAACATGATTTTCTCAAGAACCTGAGTTCCTAGATATCTCAAGTATTTTTTGTTCATGTCAAATCATGGTCATCATTTGGTAGCAGAATTTCTTTAAGAATCATTTCATGCAAAAATTTCATGCTTTGACTTTATATTGTAAAGATGTTTAGATTGATGCTACTCTTGTTGTTCATTTTCATGTAATTGTAAAATCATCTTAAACTCAGTATCTTATAAACTTTCGAATTCAATTTCCCCAGTTCCTGAATTAAAATAGACTCATGTTAATCAAATGTTGATCAATTCAACGAAACAAATGATCAGACAATCTTTTTTGGGGATACATTAAAAACATCTTTTTCCTCTACCGGGATGTTAATGCCAATCAACAAATAAATTAACTAAATCATCACATTAATCAAATGTTTAATTTCAAACTATTTTTTGTCTAATGAATATTTAACGTTAAAACGGGTCACATCGTGCTTCAACTTTTTATATACTTAATGCAGTTTAATCGAGTTCAATTTAACTTAAACCAACGCCAACTAATTTACCTTGCCAACATTAGATAAAAAATTGATTTGTATCAAATGCTATATTGTTATTGAGTTTATGAGTAAATTACTGAGACTTTTTAGAGCTGACGAAAAGAGATAATTTGTGTTATTTCACTTTAAACTAAATTGTAATTTGCAATTTTTGTTGTCATTTACTTACATTATGAACCTTTGATGACCATCAAAGATAGTTTGACTTACTAATAATATTTGCAACATAAACTGAAAAGTAAAGAGAGGATTGAGCTTACCGTTGGGTAAAGTGTGCCGATGATGATGATGATTGTTAGTTAATAGCTCTGATGGTTTAGTTGATACCGATTGATCGCTGGAAACGAATGGTGATCGAGTGACGGAAGGGCCTGCAGAAGGAAATCCATGTCCAGAGTATGTCGATGGAGTTGAAGAACCAGGAATATGACGGAAAGCTTGACCAGGAAATTGGGGTGAGAATGAGTTTCCTCGTGCATTAAGGCCTTGAATGTTATTAACTCGAGGTGAATCATAATTGGGTCGGTTGTTCAAATTGGAACCATAGCGTATTACATTGGACACTGGATTGGGTGATGAGCTTGTCGTTTGATCGCCTGAAACTGAAACCGAGACTGACACATCAGTTGATGGTTTAGGTGGGTTGATTGATGAAGGTGGGGTCACTGATGAGTGAACATGTGTATCTATTGAACCTGAGATGGGGCGAGGTTGATAGTTAGCAAAGTAATTTGGTGAAGAGGATAAAGAGGACGAAGAAGATGATGAAGACGAGGAGGAAGAAGAAGAGGAACTATAGGAAGAGGGTAATCCAGAAGAGTTGAAAGTTGTCCATGATAAAGGTCGAGATGTTGAGCCACGTAAAGTATCAGAAAAATTGGGAAATTGGTTACGAGATGAAGATGACGAGGATGATGAGGAAGTTGATATTGTTGGTGATGATGAGGTTGATCCTTTAGACAATTTATTATCTGGTATTTTATCGTAACCCTCTAAACTTGGAATTGTGTCTAAACTTGAATCAGAATTTTTGACAACTCGGGTCATGGTTCCATTTTTACTATCATCATCATCATAATAATAATAGTAATAGATGACAACATCATCCTTTTTCCCTGTACTATTGGTTGGTGAAGATGAAGATGAAGGATGAGATGCTGATGCAGAGTTTGAAACTGGTGATGAGTTGGTTGAAGGTAATGATGATCGAGTGACTTTATTTGTTTGATGTGATCCAGGTTGGCCTTGATCTTTGAAGGATGATGGATTAGATGATGAGGGTGATGAACGCGGCTCAACGGTTGACGTTAGAGATGAAGTTGGATAAAAGCGATTCAAGCGTTCCTCTGTTAACTCAGATCCATGAGATGAAGAGTGTGAATCCAATGATGAAGATGAAGCTCCTGAAGATCGACCCTGAGTTTGACTTGAAGAATGACCAGGTTTTGGCGGTGGGTTAATAGTGGCCGGTGGTTTCCATGTGATACTCTGATGGGGCGAAGCATTTCCACTGAGAACTGATATAACCTGTGGCTGGCGGGAAACAAGACTATCGCTTGATAGCGAGGAACCACTTGCTTGATAAGGTATTATGGAAGGTGAAGTGGTTAAGGAAGACGAAGATGGGTACTGAGGGAATCGGCGCACAGATGAGATTGGATCAGGTTGAGAGTCTTCGGCTTTTGAGTATCCATCATTTGGATAGTTGTTGATTTGAGAAGATGGAAATTGGTAAGTCCGAGAACCTCGAATTCCACCTTCTGAGATGGGATCAGGTGAGTCTGCATCTAATGAGTATCGATCATCGTCCTCGTAAAGATTTGAATAGGATGTAGAGGAAGAAGATGAACAAAGGTTTAAACAAGTTGTTAACAAAATGGCAGTTAAAGGTGCATAGTTGAACCAATACATTATTGATTTGGCTTTAAAGTGATTTGTATTGGAAAATGTCTCGAAATGAGAATTAGTAACAATTTTCAAATAAATTTAAAGACAGTTAAACTAGAGTTAAGTTACAAATATCATATCACAAGTTATAACAAGGCAGTTGCTGGTCAAACAAACGGTTAGATAAGTTATGGAAATATTAGTCCAAATTTCACTCGGACATTCAATCGTAAAGGACAATTATTACACTTGTTAATTAGATTGTTTGTTGACTTGGTTAATAAAATGAAATTTAATTACGATTAAAATGATCAACTGTTCGGTTAAAAAGATAGAGAAACAAATGAAGGAAAACTGATTTTTGTTTGTTATTTGAGAGGTTGATTGAAAAGTGTGAGAAAGAAAGTTAAAGGGATGAGAAGTAAGATGTTGTCGTTGATTATGATGATGATGATGAGAGCTTGAAGTGGGCTGAAATATTCAGTAAAAAGATAGCGAAGAAGCCGGTTCCACGAAAAAACAACAAAAAAAACCAAGATCGCTAAGCGTTCCCAATAAGAGAGATTTAATGGGTTCGTTTTTGACGTGGCTTCGTCCTACTTTTTTATTAACATTATTTGTACAGTTAAATTATTATCCAATGTTGCTGGATATCGTAATCTTTAATCAATTTAATTAATATTTGATGGGAATCAACTTCTATTTGCATAAATGCTTTTTGATCAACAAGCTCTTCAGGAGACATCTCAATTGTCCAATCAAATCCGCCAAGACAATCAAATTAAAGCCAAATTAACTAGAATGGATTTTTAATCTCGTATTGATTGCAGATCTTGTCCGGAATTAATTCATCATAGTAAAGAGTTGTGTGCAGGCAATAGTTGAATGGCTTTAATTGTTTGCTGCTTTGTGTTGTTCAAGTAGAGAAAGTTGATGTTTACTGATCAATCATGTTAATTAGATTAAATGAATTTCTGGAATCAGGTTTGTTTCTCTAATCTTTCTGTTGTTGTTACTTCTTGTTTTGCTAAAATAAGACCAAAAAAACAGCAAATTGTTAACATTCAAGGTTGCCCTAGTTTTAAGATGAACCGCACTTTGTCTCTTTTTTTGGTGTTGCCTTTATTGTTGTCAGGTTATCATTGTTATTGATGAAATAATTTGCGGATTTTTATTGATGAAACAGTCAAACAGCCATTTAGTTCCGCTTTTGTTTACGATTTGATCCCGAGACCACAATTAGCTTCAAATAATCTTGTTTGTTTCTTTGATTGGTGGCTTTCTCTTGGTTCCTCTCCTTACCAAGTAACCCTTTTTAAGAAAAAAAAATATAAAATAGAAAAAAAAAGTTTCACATGAGAATCAAAGAAATACCAGTTCATCATTTTTCGTTACCAAATTAAACTACTAATTATCACATTATAACTATTAACCTTAACTTTGATTTATCAAAGAAAAAAATTTAAAATTATTTTATGGTCAACAGTAAAAATGATACAATCAAGTTAACAAGTAAAAAAAACCAATAGCAATTTACTAAAATGGTACTCATTTTACTTGTTAACCTTTTTTTGTGCTCAAAATTGTTACAATATCTATATAACAATCAACTGAATAACTGATTAAAGATTTAAAAATGTAAGACAACAAAAAAAGCAAAAAAATATGAAACCTTTTTAAACGATTGATTGATTAATATTGATCGTTGAATATGCATAAGAAAATGAATAATGCATGTAAACTTGGAATGGTTTAGTTTAATCCTTGACAAAGTTGATTAAGTTCATGATTTAAATCTTTGATTTTTCAGTGTTGATCGATATCAATATTGAAATAATCTTTGATGATTTAACTTTCATACTTTCATACTTTTATACTTCCTGTTGATTGTGAAAGTTAATGCTGCATTGTAAAGTGAAAAGGGTTAACCTCAATGATTGTTATTACCTTAACAGTGGGTGTTAATTGTTGTTAAAAGTGATATACTTGGGTTTTGTCATTTTCTGCATAATCAAATAATGAAAGCAAATAGCCTACATTGGGATTGAACAATCATTTTAAACTGGTTGAAGTCCCATTTTTATATAATATAATAACTCGTCTTCATTCAATCAACCAGTGTGGTGTGTGTGGTTAATTAAATTTTGGGTTAATCATTTTTAATGCATTTTAAAGTGTATTGAAACCAATTTAACGATATAATATTTTAATAATGATAACAGTAACAATGGAGATGATGATGTTAGTAAATGGTTGGTGAAATAAATTGTATTAATCAAATGAAGATAAGAAATATTTGATAGGTGAGGTTAAACTTAACACACCTTGCAACAAATAAATCAGTGTTATAACCATTTGATTGCAAATCGTCGAAAGTAAAACAATTAACGCAGGGTTAGTCATTTCAATTGTTCTGATTAACCAAAAGTGAGTAAGAAAACAGCAATTTAAGTTGACAGTTTGCTGCTCTTCAGTTGATTAACTAACTATCAAGTTGCTTGAAGCAAATGAAAAGAGAAACAAATTGGTTTTGTTGTTGAACGAACAACAAAATGAAAAACTTGATAATCTGGTTCGTTTTTTTTCACTTATTTGGCGTAAAAAAGCTAATTGAGAGTAATTAAGAAACAAGTTATCTAAATAATAAATTGTATGGATTGGTGTCTTTTTTGTTGCTGTTTAAGGTACAGTTACAGTCAATAAAACATGAATACTTCTTCAGTTATTCTTGATTAAATACAAGATTAAAAGCAAGAAGTCAATTTGTTCAGATGATTATCATTATCAAAAACATCAGATCAATTAATTGGTTGGATGATTGTTAAATTGAAAGGTTTCAGTCTCTTAATTGTGTTTAACAAAAATATAATGATAACTTTAATTGCATTATTTAATAGTAAAACATAACTGAATTTAAATTGGAATCACTTACTGTTGATGAGTTCTTCAGTTAATCTTTTTATCACAATTGATGCCTTAGGAATTATTTGGGAAGGGTCTAAGCGTGGTATACAATTAAGATCAAATTCAAAATTACTAGGTGTTAGTAGACATGATATTTTGTTGCCTTTCTTGGGAAGGTCATTGTCAGTGTTTTGGACGGGTTTTGGATCGGGAATTGAATTAAGCGATACAAATTTCTCCTTGAAGTAACCAACAGAACTCGGTGTGTCACTTGAACTTGAACTTGATGATTCCATCTTCATGAGCAAAGATTCAATATTTTTAAAGATAATATCACTTTCTTCGGTATCGTTTGCATCTTGCGATATGACTTCAGGGTTGCTTTTTACATTCACTTTAATGTCACTAGATTTTGGAATGTTGCCCTCAGCTTGAGTGTCCTTTGCATTGGTTTCAAGTTTCTCCACTTGACTATCAGATTGAGGATTACTAGGTGTTTTAACGCCTACTCGAGTGGAACTTCTCATTCTACGGGTCACAGGTTGCATTTGTTTAACATTGTTATCAGGCTCACTATTTTCAGAATTTTCATGGATTGCTCCATTCAAGGCAAGTGTTTCTGTTTCAGGTATTTTTTCAAGAACAGGCTCAACAATAGGTCCAGTTGGCGCCTCTTTACTATCACTAGTCTCATCAGCTGAATCTTCATATCTGAGCTTTCGTCTCCTAATAGTTTTATGACCTTTTGCAGCAAGAACATTATCGATGATTTTTGAAACAGAAATTGGACTGGCAAATATAACTTTTTTCTTACTACAGCTAACAGCTTCGTCACAATCCATCTCAGCTTCTCTTCGGCGTTTCAATATTCCCCTTGAACTTGGGGTTAAATTGGCATCACAGCTACTTGAAGTTGGCGACTCTGGTTTTGTCTGCTTATCTGCATTACCTTCGTTACCTCCATTAATATCATCTTTTGAAGACAGCGAGCCCATATCGATATCAGCCTCGTCCTTTCCAGTATTGATAACAGCTTTAGCTTTTTTCAGACCTTGGTGAACTGCCCGGGAACCACGACTAAAAGGTGAACTGTTGAAAGGCGTTAAAGGTGTAGATCGAGGTGGCGAAGAATTTGCAATCATAATTGATTCCAGTTAACCAGAGAAGAAAAAGGTTACAAATTGGAAATAAGGCAAACGGATGAGAAAATGCAAGTTTATGGAAAATTTACAATGAGAAAATGCACAAATAAGAAACAAAGTGAACAGAGCAAAGATGTATATAATACAGAAATGATTATTGTGAGTTGATGATGAAGATTAAACGAGAGGAAGACAGTGTTGATCTCTTACAATAAAAAAGCTCCAAACGAGTGAAGAGCCGCTAAATAAAAACAAAGAGTGCAGAAGAGAAGGAATGGAAGACCAATGGAAAAAGCGAGGGTAAATCGCTAACCAAGGAAACAGGCAAACAAGGGAAAGTATAGTTACAAACAATCGAACTTAATCGACCATTTAATCATTGGACTTCCCTTTCCTCGATTTAATTAATTTCCTTTAAAGATAATTGAGATAAAATTTTGCTTAATTGCAATAATTATTTAACATGCTGTAATAATTATCCTGAATAAGAGCTTATCAAATTTTGTTTACAAGTTCAAACAGATAGTATCCGTACTCACTGCTACATATCACTTCGCTCCATAGAAAAGCATGGTTTAAACGATATTTCCTATCGATACAAATATCGATACTAGAAATATCTGCAAAGATTGATAATCGATTTCCATGAGTTCCATACTTTTGCTCCATCTGTTGATCAAGTTTAAAATTTAAACTTTAAATACATTCGTACATTCGTTTCAACAAATCAAATTGTTTAATAATTCATACATTTGTTGGATTTGCTTAGAATCTCAATTGTTAAATTTTGTTTTTTAAAACTTACTCGTATCATTCATATCCAGAGATTTTAATTTGGCTTTTAAATTTACTTCGGTAGTTTCTGTAACAATGATTTCACGTTAGTAAATCATCAAGGATAGTGTTGTGTTGCTGTGTTCAAAAGGCGTTCATTTGAGACGCTCAAAAGGGAACCAATTACACTATTGGACTTGATTAATGCATAAGAATCTATTGGTTCAATTGATTTATTGTATTAATACAAATATATTTGCTTAAAGTAGAACACAAAGCTAAACTGGATTTAGTTCGATTTCATAGTAAAATCTAATAATCTAATCATATTAATGGCAAGTTGTAAGTTTATTTCAGAAATAGCACTAGATTTAATTCTGAATTTCCGAATTCGGTTATGTTCTAATTTATAACTGTCGATTCCATATAAATACAGTGCGAGGTGATTAAAATACAAAAATTTATTTGACAAATTCAATATGAGTGTTTGAGAATAATGAATTAGGTATTTAATAAATTTGGTGATGCTAACAAATTGTGAGTCCTAATAGACGAAGGCCTTTTAATGGTTTAATTATGTAGTTGAGTTAAACTACTTCATAACCTGGATCAGGTTTGTATCTATAAGCGCCTTTAATGAAAGGGATACTTCGAAAGCTTGTTCGATTCCGTGGGATGTATGGTTCTCGGTCATCATCCAGATGATGTCCCTGAGGTTGATTTCGGTGTTGACTTCGGTATTGATCTTGTTGTGAATCTCTATACTGATCTCTATATTGATCTCGGTGTTGATCTCGATGCTGATCTCGTTGTGCGTCTCGGTGCTGGTCTCGGTCATGATCACGGTCTTGATCTCGGTGTCGATGATATTTGTCTTTATCGTCATTTGATGTCTGACTATCTGGTCCAGATGGATTTCGATTGGGTTCTCGAGGTTGATGGAATTGGTGTGATTGTGGCTGGCGATCTTCATTTCTGTTGTTTTCTTGATCGCCTGAGCTTGGATAATGATTTGGTTGATGAAGTAGACAAGGTGGTTTTTTCTCAGGCTTATATTCTTCTTTCTCTCTTTCTGATTTTCCATTATTTGATTGAGCATCAGGAGATGATATACCTGCACAAGGTGGGTTCTGTTGATTTGCATTACCCAAAATACCCAAAATATCTGGTTTATAACCTGCAGGTAAACCGATCCCATTAGCATTAAACTCTTCATCTACAACAACGTATGGATGGCCTTTAACACCAAATGATGTACCAACCAAAGAGTCGGGTAGTGTAACTGAGTGCATTGAATCGTCCATTTCATTGGTACCTGTAACACCCGAGAGACTACTCAATTCACCAACATTTGATTGACCATCAAGACTCAGTTCAGAATTAGTATTTGTAAAGCCATCTTGAAAAAGCTTTAAAGTTGAACCAGAAGGTAGTGAAGAAGACGATGACGATGAAGATAATGATTGTAACAGCGCTTCGTAAAATGGATTGGCAGATTGGAATAGAGAATCACTCATGATTGGTAAAATGATTGTTCGAGTTTTATGATCATTTGATGAGGTTGATGACGATGAAGGGCGATACGATGTTGAAGGCGAAGAAGATGAAAGTGAAAATGTTGGAGAGTGTGAATTGGAAGCGTAAAGAGGTTTAAATAAATGTAAATTGAAATCATCTTTCGCTGTAGACATTGAATTGTCATTGATTTGCTGGTAAAGGCTCAGCATATTGAATAATTCGTTGGGTGAAGAAGATGAAGAAGAAGATGATTGTGATAGAGAGGGCGAGTTTAATGAAGAGGTTGACATGGCTGATGATAAAGCCTGCTGTAAGGATCCAGTTAAATCTGTAGTCAATGTTAAAGGAACCATTGATTTGGATAGTACAGAATCTACATTAGCATCTCCTAAATTTAATAAGTGATGCTGACTAAAGATTGATTGATGATTATGGGCATCAGACAATGAGGATGCTGATCCTGGCATAATTGGTGACCCTGATGAGGACGATGATGTTAATGATGATGATTCAGCTGATTGGAAAGGCTTTAACCGTTTAATCAGGGATCGCAGTGAAAGTGAATTAATATTATCCGAATCAACGAGACTGGAGAAGGCAGAGAAAGTTGATTCTGGTGAAGAAGATGTTGAAGAGGATAATGAAGGGGACGAAGGTGATGATGAAGAAGATGCTGAGGAAGATGAAATTTCTGCTTCATTTACATCTAAAGAGTCTTGGGATGGAAAAGGTGACAATGAACCATCTGAAGATGAAGAAGAACCCAAAGATGGTGTCAACAATGAATCCTTATCGTCCTCTTCACCCTTTAACATTATTGATTCCAAGCGTCTTGCCTTGTCATTTTCAGATTCATTATTATTACCATCATAAGCTGATGAACTTTCCGTCTCTTCATCAAAAGGATTCCTTAAAGGATTAACATCTCTCAATGTTGTACCAATTGAACCCAATAAAAGTTGATTCATCATTGAAGTTTGCATTTCATTCAATGTAGACTCTTGTTGAATTGGTGAAGTCAAAAGATTTCCCTTGTTCCTCTCTCCGTCCGAATCATCATCACTGTTAGTGGCACCATTGGAATCACTGGAATCACCATTGGAATCACTGTTGATTAGTTTGGGTTCAGTCTTGTCACTCAATGTATCGGCCATTTGATCCGTTTCATTTGAATCGTCTTCATCTGAGTCCTTGTCTTTGGTTCCAGCCATCGATTGAATATTAACTTGTTGTTGCTGTGAATCTTCACCTTTCCTTTCATTGTTATGATTATCTTTACTATTGAGAATTGATTAAAAGAGGAAAAAATAATAAGATTAATATCATGATTAAAAAGACGTTTATGTATCATTTTGATCAGCTGTTCAACATATTTATAGTGAATGGTAAAAGTTGATTATTTGTGATAAAATTTTCCTTTCCAAATAAATTATTTTCAATGTAAAAGGCTGACATAAATGTCAATCTCAAGAGTAAATGCAATAAATATGAGAATATTATTTTCATCAAATTGACCACAAATTGAAGACAATTTTTATCATCTCATTGCTTTAACTGTTGTCTAAATCAATATCAACTGTTAAAGTGAACACAAATTGTGAATAAATTGTCTGCATCATTAAATTAACCGCAAGTTAATACACAAGTTAATTCAATTGTCTGGTTCAACCTAGTATAAGATAACAGGCAAACCAATATTATTATTATAGCATCAATTGATTGAATTGTAACAACTATTAATTCTTAATGATAAAATTTCAAGTAACCAGTCAGAAACAATGAAAAATGAGGTAAAAAAAGATGAACCCAAATATGAAATGCTGAGCAGCAAAAAGAGAAATAAAAAAGAGAGAAAAACATGAAAATAATATTTTATTCAATGATAAACTCAGTGAAATGAAAAGATGGTTTCAATGTTTCATATTATCAACTCAATAGTTTATCGCAAAGCAAAAGATTGATAGTATTTACTTTGACAAGTGACTAGTGAAATTTATGAGACAAGAATATATAAATGATTATTACAGAATGAAATCACAATTCAAATGATCAAAATGAGAAAAAAAGGATAAAAAATGAAATGGAAAACACGATGATAAAGGTTCTCCAAGAAGTAGTGGCAATGAATTCAAATGTAAAAATAACGCTTTTTAACAAGGATATTGGAAAAAAATAAAGCTGCAAAATAAAACATTGCACTTTTCTGATTATTTTGAGGCCAAAAGTAGACTTAATTTCGTCAATTAAATATACTTAATAAGGCCGAACGCGAAAAGAGCTAATTTATTTTATTCTTGTGAATTTGACTCTAAAGTGAACTGATTTGAGTTCTGAAGGAATTCCGAGTTCAACATCTTACCGCATAATAAAGTGATGACTTTTAGTACTAAATCTGAATCTAATTCAGTACTCACTTTGACCAAACAGAGATCGCAATCACAGAAACTCAACTAATCTTTGAAATAACCATTGACCCTCCACAACGAGGACTCAAAGGCCCGAAGAAGCTTTCGTTTTACTTTAGCCAATTGGCAAATATTGTAGAAGAAGGTTTTTTTATAATATGATTTTTCATTGAAATGAAATCTTCTTAAAAACTAACCCTACAATGAAAAGTGTAAACACATTTTTCACCAGGTTAACCGATCAGAATAATGACCCTCAAAGTGTTAAGTGCTGTGGACAATTTGTAGGTGAAAACCCTTCGATTTCAGAGACTGAAGCTGCTAAAAGATGAAATTATGTGTTTCGACCCTCGGTCAAGAGAAAAAATTAGATATGAAATCAAGGGTTAATGAGGAATAGAAGAGCAAATTTCGAAACGGTTTTTAGTTTGGCAAGCTATCGATGAGTATGGAAATGTGCTTCATTCATTCATCCACGAGTCGAGGATAACCTCTGACATTTATGAGAAATATTGCCTTGAATCTATTCTATCGAAATTCATAAAGAAATGAAGGTTGACCTGATTTATTCTGACCTGACATGGAACTGTGCATTACTCGAAGATTGAAAATTGGAAATTATATTTATCGGTTAAGCAATCAATTTTTGTAAAAAATTCATTTCATGTTCACTGTTTCTTAGGGTCTTTTATTTGAATTGATTTTTTCAACTTGACTCTTTATCATCATTGGATACCTAAAAAATTCTGGTAAATTAATATTTGCCATTTCAGTGAACCTTTAAAAAATGTAACATTTTTCCTGGTCAAAATTTAATGTACAGTCAATCATCAAGAGCTGTTACTGTTAGTTAATTATTGTAATTTACTTTTAATTCTGGTTCAACTCAACCTTTTATTCATCTCATCTTCTCAAGCCTTTTTCCCATTGTTATTAGACTTGTTTCATTTACCAACTCACTCTACTGTAATTAATTATCTTTTAATTATTCCCTGACTTTCACTACAATTACCATGCAAGGGTGACAATAATTAAACAACAAACAAAATATTCCAACGCTAAATAGATTTCAATTTACTGGTAAAACAACACAATCTATTGATTTTTAAGTTCAACTGATCCATTTCATTTGTACAGTTCAATGTTAAAAACACTTTCATTTTTCTATCTCTGCAATTGTAATTAACAATTCAATAGACTTAACCAATTTCATCCTTTTAGTCAACACTCTGAGTTATTAATCAATAATCTGAATAGCGCTTTCATCAACTGTTTTCATTCATTTGCATTTCATTTAGATTATTATTGATTGATGATGAAAATTGCCATTTCAAGGTAATTGCTAGTTTAAACAGTAAAAAAAGATTCACTTAATTTGATCATTGAACAATTTCAATGTAAACAGTAGTTATAAATTAGATACTTACATTGGGATGAAAACGGGTAAAACTTTAGATTGGGGTAAATATATGGCAACTGGTCCACCATAATCAGCCAGGTTAATCAACCAAATTAACAGAATGTAAGTTAACATGATTACACTTGATCAACATAATCCAGTTGATTTAACTATCACAGTGAGATGCATATTAAAACCACAAAAACCAGGATTCAAAATGGACTTGAAATGCTGATGGGAAAATGGTTTTCATTGAAATAACTCAACTGTCATTTTTACAAAACTGGTTAAAATTGAATCACAATTGAATGTATAATTAATAAACAATAAACTAATAGACAAAACAAGATAATTGAAAATTTAAATATAAATATGAATTGAAAGTGAAAATGTAAAGCAAATGTAAAACAAAATAAGAAACCAAAATCGGGTGACAATTAAGATGACAATCAAGTTAACCAAACTGGTATTGAACAAAAAATGGTAAAACAATGGATCACAGATCGAGTCATGATTGGGTTTACCCGATTGGGTACTCTGTTTGGTGTTTGTTTTTCGGTATCTTTTTGGTGTTTTTCTGGTGGTGGTGTTGTTGTGCTATTCAAGATCAGGTTTGACATTTGATTGTTGATGGTTAAGCACAAATTGCACTTGATAATTGCCTTTAACCGCACCTTGAACAAGTGATAATCAAATAGACAATTGCTTAACCATTTTAACTACCAATTTGTTTATTTACCAAAAAATTGGATCAATATTTAAGTTGACTACATTTTCAGATAAACAAACTTCATCTTCATCATCATCTCGTCAACAGCATTCACTTTTTTTTGTTTTTACCTTTACTCTTAATTGAAACAAGTTGATACAGTTGATTGCTGTTAAACATTTACTTCATTATTAGCCTTAGGGTGGGCCAACAAAAACTATCATTTACTTGATTGTAATCATCTTCATTGTTATTGTTTTTCTGGTTACTTCATAACCATCATCAACAAGAATATCATTTTTACCATTTTAATCTTCATGATTAACTGGTAAACAACCAGAAAAAAAGCATAATGGTTAAGACCAGAAATTACCTCTTCTAACTCACTTTTGCTTTTTATTTCCAACAATTGTAATCACAAAAATAATCTATACAATATATAAAGTCAAAGCATCAAATTTTTGCGTCAAGATTGTGGTCGAACTGAGCGGGTTCTAAGAAAAAAAATTACACAGCGTGAAAGCCCTAATTCAACTACAACGACGAAAAATAAGAAACCTGTCCTCAGAATCTCATGACCTCTGAGAAATTCATGAAAATAGTGACTGGGGGAAAAAATGTAGAATCCGTATTCAATAACATTGAGAGAGGGGGAAAAACTTTTTGTTATTTAGGTTGATGGTTGATTGTTGGACCAGGATTTTATGTAAAACTTTGTCATTTGAGTAAAGAGGAAAGAGGGGACCGACTTTTTTCACCAGTTTTTTACCGTCTTTTCACCGTATTGTCCACCATATTGTCCACCACTCAATCCAACACATGGACAGTACCGTGAAAAGACGGTTAGCATGGGTGGTTAAAAGAAATTTACGATCAGTCATGATCGTGTCTCAGCTTGTAAAAATAATAACAAATGTTATTATGATTAAATGATCAAGCTTCAACAATCAACAATTGTAAATACATTTATTTTATTACTTTGCTTTGAAAAGTTGCCTACAAAATCAACCAGATATGGAGCGTATTAAGCATAGACAAAAACAATAAGCCAACTTCAGATTCAATGATCAATCTCATAGGAATCATTTCAATTGTTTTAATACACCTTTAATAGTCTAATTTAATCATCATAATCGGTTGATTTAACGGTTTTACTTTACATGTTTCTAAGATAATTTAAAGCTTCGATCAACTCACATTAACATTGATTTTATTACACGTTGCTCTGCTTTTCTGGTTAACTTTAAGGCTTAGGCTTGGGTGTTCTGGTTGGGTATTATTAGGTTTACTTTGGGTTTGGGTTAATTTTCACAGTCACTAAACATCCATTTGAATAAAAGTCAATTATATTAATTGGAAAGTTATTGAGATTATTTGTGATAATTGTGAAGATGGTCATTAATTTTCAATGGTCTTGCAACTGTTGGATAACATTCAATTACCTTGTAATCATGAACAATGACAATGATTGATTTACCACTTTGGTCAATTAGGTTTACATTGTGTACATTACTTATGTAAATTGTTACTATCATTGCCATTAACCATTGAAATTTGTTTTCCATGTAAACAGTTAACCTGGTCAAAAAAATGTAAACTGTCTCACTTGATAGCAATCATTATTTATTCATTTGTTATAGAGGTAAATTTCATATTATACAATTACGTGTTTTACACAATTGGTTTAATCTTACTAGTATAATTAATAAAATCTCTATTTGAGTGAAACAATACAGGATGCAATTAGTTAAAGAGGAAAATTGAAACATTGGAAAATAATTGTATGTAAAACTTTGATAGGATTTTGGGTTGAAACAAGAGTTCAATGGAAAAACAAAAATGCGAGTAAAATTAAACAACAAATGTGCACAAATTGATTTTGTAAAATTGTTTGGTCAAATAGCAGTTAGGGATGATAGTGATTAGATTTTTAATGATCAACAATATCTCTTTTGTTCCACTCATTTCTGGTCATCCTAGAGCTATTAAGAATGAGTATATAAATCAAAGTTGCTGGTTAATCAAAATCGGTTTAAGCTTCATCGTGAGTTGGAGTGAGAACTGTAAATCACATAAAACATAGGAATGAAAACAGAGAGAAGATTATGTTTTTGGTTTTCTTCTTCTCATTGGTAAATGTCTAATCATCAACTTTAACCAAACCTTTACAATTAGAGAATTGATTTGAATTACCAATTTGTTACCACAAACAAAATAAGGTGAAACAAGAATGAGAAATAGGTACGGAGAATATTTGTTGATGTAGTTGGATTTTGTAGTGTTGTTGGTGTTTCCCTTTTGATCCCAAGATTACAATCTACTATCCTAATTTGTTGATTGATGTTCCCAAATCAGTGTTACCAAGTCGATTCGTAATAATGTCTAGATTATCATTGGAAATCTTGGTTAACGGTAAGAAAGCCGAGCTTTGGCTAGGAAGTAAAACAAATCCTGGATTACATGGTTTTTGTGGACATGGGGCAAGAACAACATGTGATAATTGATTAGGCCGGAAACTGTGAAACACAAACAAATTAAAATAATAACACAATTAATCAAACAATTTAACAAAACAATGAGTAAAGACATTTATAAATCAACCAGCAATGACCAACAGTTTATGTTAATTTTTGTCACTCTCGCCATCTTTTGTAAAAAATTAGATCAATTAAAAAGAAAGACAATGTTTCACTTTCTTTAATGGGGAAAATTAATTTTTTCCCCATCTTTACAGTACTGAAGGCGGTAAAAGGCTTAAGCGGGATTCCAAATCTTTAGAGAACCCAAAATGTCTGTTATTTTTCAATACAATAATTTCAATTAATTTAAATTCAACTCATTCAACTATTGAACTTAGTATTCTTTTGATTGACGTTAATACACCTTCCATCATTAGTATAAGTCTTTGCTGTTACAAATGAAAATGATTACCCCTATTGTTATCAAACTGTCCTATTCATCACAGCTATACCTTTACAACGTTGACTTTAACAATACATTGATTGAAACTCATCATTATAAATATATTCATTTGCTTAATGATGTTTACTTTCTTCATCTTCTTTATCTTCATTTTCTTCTCCATCGTTGATTCAGCTTGAATCAGTTACAATTAAATGTAAAATGATGATTTGATCTCATCATCATTATTCAAGTAAGTCAAATAATAACTTGTAGTTATATTTTTTTTCATAAAAACAATCTTTTCATTTCTCGTTCAGCCTCGTTATTTTTTCTACTTTTTTTAACAAGCAACTTTTGCTACTTATAAATTCAATTTAATCCTGAGTAATAATGATAATAATTATATGGATAACGACGATAGTTTCTTATTGGCAATGAGAGTTGCACTATTTGTGTTACCTCTTCTCTTTTCCTCTAATAAATTACAATTACAGTTACATTCAACCTAATGGTAAAGTTAGATTCAAGCTATTATTGTAAAAAATAAGCTCATTATACATCTATGTTCTTGCAACATCTATTTCTTAAGTAGAATGACAGTTTAAAAGTTAAATTGCATTCATTATCATTATTATCGTTAAAACCAAAATCGCTCTACCAACATAGCACAGTGAAACAGTAATCAGAGTTTTTTTCTTGTAAAAAAGGTGCAACATTTAATAATATGCATGATATTTATCATGTGAAGAAGAAGTAAAGAGTTCAGAGTCCTTTGTGTCCAAAATTTAATATAAAATCTAATCTTACCATTTCTTTATATCTCTAGTTATGTTCACTTTTTCACAGCCATCAGGAGGCTCATGGGTTAAAAATTTGTTCATCTCAGGACTGGCTATTATGTGCCTGTTTGATTCACCATTTAATCCTGATAAAAAAAATCATTTGGAAAACATGAAAGTTGTAAATAAGCCGATTGAAATTGAACTCTACTACAGTCTCTGGCGACTCTACCTGAAATAATATGTACAGGTGATTGTAATCCAGAACGACAATCTTGGCAACAAGGTGACAGGCAGCCATCATCTGAAATATCATCCAAGCTTAACTCTAAATTGACACCATCAGTATTAATTAAGTTATTGATATTCGCCAAATTATCGTTATTATGGACAAGTCGTTTTGTTCCTTTTCTTTTTCTCAGCCCATCTGAAGTAACTTTGATATCATAATCTTTTTGTGACTTACAACTAATATCTTCATTTTCATCATTTTCCTCTCCACTATCACAATCATCAGCTTCTCCTTCATCAAAATCGTCGCCATCACAGCTTTCACCATTGTCAATTTGGATTAAAGAAACATTTCGTTTACTTCTAGTTGACAATAGCTTAGCAATTGGATCCCGATGTCCTTCTGGTGCTGGGCCCAAGCTGATGCCCTGGTTCGGTGTAAAGTCTGAAATCTCATCAAGAACCAATTTCTCGATCTCCTATTGATTCAACGAAAGACAAGATAAAACAAGATGAAATCACAGTTCAATTTGATCATAAAAAGCATTTTAAAAACGGACCAATACAAAGCAATGGACAACATCTTCCAACCTTGTCGATATTGCTAATATAAATCCTCAAAGTTCCAGCATCATCATCGCAAAGAAGAAGACAAAATGAATAATATATGTGAAAGTGAATTGAATTCAACCATCAAAAAGGCTTTTAGAAAATCTAGAATCAATTATTCCATCTTTTTCGTGAACAACAGTTTTACTAACACCTTTATTCAAATGTTAATAAACACAATACATTTGATAATTTTGTTGCATTCAAATACAACAAATTTCAATATTTTCACCTGAACATGATTATAATGTCAAATGTAAAAACAAATAATCTAAACAATGTTTCACTAAAAGTGATGTAGAGGCAAAAAAGAACACATTTAACCAATAACAATGTCTCTTGCTATTGGTTTTATGCAAATTAACAAACAAAATACAATTATACAATGTTACTTGTGAACAATAAATTGTGTTGAAAACAATCAAATACTAACACAAAGCAAACATGAGAAACAAAAAAAGACATCATTATCATTTTATAAAAATGTAAATCATTTAGTTACATTTACTTTTGTTTGCCTCTGTTTACTTTTACCAACTAATAATATTCATTGTGATCATTTGGTTGCTTAGTTATTTAATTTGTAACAATAAAACAAATTGTTCCTGAGTTGGTTTTTTGTATTATAAATTTCAAGACCAGGAATCAACATTTGTTCAATCAAGAAATACCAAGAAACATTATCAAGGATAAAAGACAAAGAAATGCTCAACGATATTGGGATTGAACAATTGGCCAAGCTGAGTTTTATTATCTTTTGATATCCATGATTGATTGATTCCAAACGATTCAGGATTAAGGTTAAATTTAATTTTGTTTAATGCTATAAAAACCAAAGGGAAACAACAAAATGTATGCAATAAAGTAATACTCAAAGATCACTGAAGAGTAACAATTGTAATCAATAAAATAGTCAAATAAATGATCACAAGCAACCAAAATGAATTAACTTGAAATATACATTTTATACGAGAAAAAAAATATCTAATAGTAATAATAATAAAAAAAATATCTGAATGAATTTTAAGAATGTATTCAAAATGCTGATTCAAGGCAAATATTTGGGTAAACCAAGCAAAAAGCAAAAGGTAAACCAAAAAATAACCAGAAAAGCTTGCAATAGTAATATATTGATACAAAAATGGTAACCATATTGAAATAACTGAATAAAGGAATGAATGAAAGTATGAAAAAAGACCCAAAAATGATAATTCATAATAAGCAAGCTTAATAGTGATAAAAAAAGGTAAATCAAATGAAAAGCAATATTTAGCCTTTTCCCGTGTTTAATGCCTGCTGCATGCTTCAGCCATTGTGATTGCTGTGATATTAATGTTCAACTATTTATCAAATTTATTTATAATAATAACGTCAAATTAGTTTAGGTGTTTATAAAAGTATAATCAGTGTATGGATGATTTAATATCAATAATGTTGATCAATTGAGATGATCATGTCGTTTTGATACATTTTTATGTCTATTTGTACCTTGAAAGTCTTTAGGCTTCACTTTGGATTTGCAATCATTTTTCTTTATCATGGTGGGGATGATTATGGTCTCATTATTGTTATTTTTGGGTATAAATTACTTGGGTTGGGCCTTATTGACACCCAAAACATTATGTTATTCATCATCATCACTTTCTACTCTTCATGATGAGCGAAGAATCGCCAAATGAATCAAACCAAATTACCTGTGAAACAATTGCTTTCGATTAGATGAATTACTTTGTATGTACGGCTTTACCCAGTCTCAATACAATGTTTCAAAAAAAGTGTTTATCAAAGGCCTAATCTCATCATCATCATCTTTGCGATAATCTTTTCAATCTTTTCAGTTTAAAATTGCAAGGAAACATTTAGGATCAAGTTGAAAGGATGTATTGATGTTTCAGGCAAAAATGAACTTGATCAAGATGAATGCCTTTGTCAAATTTTGTTCAACCCAAATGTTTGTTGGGATCAAATCAACTATCAGTCATCAAGTAATCTCATTATGGACAGAGGTGTTCCAAATCAGTTTATCAATCGATTCAAAAATGGATATTTAACAACCAACGATTGGGTTAAAAATACATGAAAACATTTTCAAAAATCAATACATTTTACTTTTGAAAAGACAGACAAAGATGGCCAATACAACACAAACAGTGAACATAGTCGATCAAGTCAATCAGTCAGTTGGAAGAGCATCTCTTCAAATTATCAGCTCAATTGTGACCTTACCTTCGATAATCAGTTAACCAAAATCAAGAAAACAAACCTGAATAATCTAATTCTTCATCAAATCTCATAAGCAAAACAGACATAAATCCATGATCGCTTGAGTTTACAGAAACATAATAGAGATCAATATTAACGCTCACGTCTAGAAAGATCATTTTCATAGATCAAATTGTTAATCAATAAGCCTGATAATGTCATGTATTTCACTCATTCACAGGTTCATCAAATCTTAAAATTCAATGAAGCCTTTTCCGATTGAAATCCAAGTTTAAAGTTAATCTAAAAGCTGGTTGCTTGACTTGTTTAATCACGCTTTTATGATGATCGGTCTTTTTTTGAGCTCAAATGATCGACAAATAAAATGGCCTTTTATTGACAATTAGACTAAATTGAAAGCAATTTGTTCCGAAATAGAAACATTCGCAATGATCAAGTTGTCTTTCAACTAATCCATTTATTGTGACAATACAAAATAATGCAACAATGTCCTTCATCTGTCAGAAGCAGCCAAGCAAGTTGAAAGAATCAAACGTTTCAATGAAACAATCTGAACCAGGGACTGACTGGGAGTGAAAAGTGGCAAATGTTAAATTGAATGAAGTGAATTGAAAAACTATGGACAATTTAATGTGAATGATAACGATGAGCCATTTAAATATTGTAGCTATAAATCATTTCAAACGTCTCCTTGTAAGCAACAACAATTTTGATGAGAGGAAGGCAAAAAAGGGAACAATGAGCTTCAAGAGAATCATGTTCAACATTTTCAATTGCAAGGTGACTTTATCCAGATTGAAATCAATGCTGATGAACATTGTATCAACTGAACAATATATTTTTCTCCATGAAAGAAGCAAAAAGATATAATAATAATAGTTTAACCTCCTTAAGGCAGCACAGAGAATCTCAACAATATAAATTATCATGTTAATGTTTTTCTTACTTTAAATGATTCTATTTGCCTTCACTCATTTTCATCATTATCATCATCAACAACAATAACAACAATCAACCATCATCATTATCATCTTCATCTTCAATAACATCTCAAGTAGAGCCAGTAACTCTCAGCATCCAACAACGGATGAAAACCTTGGATTGTTTCCCTTCAGTTATCCTTTTCCATTGCTCATTTAATGACAAAACTCACATGGGATTCACAATTTGATTTTTTGCTCGTTAAAAGTTGTTGTTCACTGTTTGCGTTTCATTGTTGTCATGTTGTGAGATTGAGGCCTTAGCTGAGCAAAAATATCTATACATTTATACACCAAAATCAACAAGCACAAAGACAAACAAAAAGGTCAACATAAAATCAGGTTATATGCAACAATCAATCATTAAGCAATGTTAAAAGACTGAGATGACAAGTTGAGAGACAGAGATAGATTCAGTGGAAGGATCAAGATGAAGATGAACATTGAAAAGATTGGCAAAAAAAGGAGTAAATTTTTTGCTTCCTCATCTTCCTCATCTTCATCATTTCACATTTTTATTTGTTCCCTCAGTCCAAAGGCACATTTCATTTTCCCTTTTCCCTTACAATAAAATATAATCAATCAACCTCAAATCTTACTTAACCATCACCTTGATTCACAATTTCAACCATCATCATAATCTTGGTACAAAGACTTTTCTGGTTCAATTCTGGTTCGATTTGGTACAAATTGACTTTTCAGTTTAAACTAAAATTTGGATTCTCAAGACATTCAAACTATTCTCATTCTTCTATTCTGATTCTTCTGATTTGCCTTAAAATGATTAGTTAATGTGGTGTTGAATGTTTCAATTGTATTGATTCCACCTTTCATTCAAATTGCAGTTTGAATATCATTGAATAATCAATATAAACGTTTTGATCATTTTTACGTGTTGGTTGACAATTTCGTGGAACTTTAAGATCGATTTTGGAATTAAAAGTTGAATGAAAATGGCTTAGCAACTAGTCCTTCTAGAGATTCATTTTGACCAAATGGGCGAAGAGGAATCGTTCAATGTGAAGAAGAAATGAAAATGAAAAATGATGAAAATTCAGCGAATCAATTATGAAGGCAAGAGGAAGGATTTCAGACATTAGTTGGTCAACTAGTCATTTTCATAGTGGTCAAGATAGTCTTGGAGTTGAAGAATTGATTGTTGATTTTCATATGAAAATAAATGTTTGTTTCCAATGTTCAAAGTAAATATAAATTCTGCGAGAACATTTATATTTTCATATTCATGAAATCTTTTGAACTTCTAAAAGCTCATTGTCAAGGAAATCGTTACCTGAAAGAGTTATAAGACTTTCCATAGACACAAGTAAATCTTGTTGGAAGTCGAGTAAAAGGTCAATGCAATAGCTTTATGCTTTGTTGTATTAGAGCTTTAAATAAGTATAACGTTATTATATCAACATTATAAGGTTTTATTTATCGAAATTTCAAAATTTAAGTTCTGCCTCAAGAACTTGGTTTTTGCGATAATATGGTGAAAGCTTTCAGAGATGAGTTTTGTCAAACATAAACGAAACAAGTCACTACTTCTGGCTTAAACACAAGAAGACCTGACTCGATCAAACAGATGAAAATACTTTTGATTTCGGATCTTATTGACATCTTAGAGTCAATCCAAAGTGTAATGTATATCACACTATGAAGTCACATTTCAATCTATGAATTGATAATTGATTGAAATAAATTGTCATCTAAATGAGTGAAATCATCAGAAAGTGAATAAACATGCAAGCAAAGTTAAAATGCATAAAGAGTTGAAGAAAAGCATTCGAGATTGATTTTTATTATCCTGAGCACAAATTTAAAGTATTTACTTCATAAATGAATACATTTGTAACAAGGATTTACAGTTAATCTTCAGCTTTTTGGGATTTTATATTAAAAATTAGATTTCTTCAGCAAAAACTGACCAATTCAAAGCAAATAAAATTTTCACAGCTTGAAGTTAACTTCAGGTTCGCCTAACTTTAAAAGATTAATTTACGCGATTTTCAAGGTAAATTAAGTCTTCGGCTTTTCTACTGAATTTCCGTGGGTGGTTCAGTGAAACAAATTTATAGCTTTCATCTATTCGAACATTGGAATTGGAATTTTTTCAGAATAAAGCTTATAATAAAAAACGATTAATTGACGAATATTTTGCTGAACAATTCAATTTTAAATGAAACAAAAGGCTCTTAATGCAGTCAATTTTTCATCCAATTTATTTCTGCTAATAATTTATTTCTAATGTACAATAATCAGGATAATTGTCAATTCTCAGGCAATTGCAAGTTCTCTTCAAGGCATGATGAAGGATCAAAAGATGAAACTCAAAGTTCAGATTGGAAAACCTTCAAATGAAAGAAATGTAATCAGCTTGAAATATTATTTTCCAAAAGCTAGGACAAATGTTCATTTTTTGGCGAAAAGTAATCGAATGAAAATGACGATAATGTCACGGTAAGAGTGTTGTTCAACTGTTTGGTATACTTTCAATATCATGTTTCATGTGCATTGAATAATTGTCTTCAATCTTTAATGCTTCTAACTTGGAAAGATCAGACACGATTCTCGAAAAGTGTAATGAATACAAATGCAACAGAATTGGTCAGCTTTAGATTAATAAAAAATTGACCTTTAATTTGACATTTGAAGGGTTAACATAAACTAAATGATGCTAAACAAGCCAATCGTCTTGATTATTGATCACTTTGCCTCTCAAGTTTATCTGGTTTTGTTTGCATATTTGACAATGGTTTGTTAACACAATGATATTCAACAAAAGTAGAGTTGACTCTTCATTTACATGTTTGATTGATTGTCAAGTTTATCAATTTTATAAATAGTTAATTTATGATAATTTGAAAGTGAAAAATCAATTTTTAAGCGAAAAAAAAACAGCCAACAAGCAAAGTCGAAAAAATCTGGTTCCATTAACCAGGAAAAGTGAAATGGAAAAGAAGAAGAAGAAGAAATGATGTTTACCTTGAACAGCGCAAGGAAAACATTTTCTGGTTAACTCAATTGTTGATTAGATAATGCTATTAACGATGAAAAAAACTGATTCATCTTGATTGAATCAACTTGTTGAACAATTGGTGAAATGGTTTGGCCAAACGTTATGTAAAAAGAAAATCAAACGAACTGGAAACGCATTTAAAAATTGAACCAACGTTTCAACTTGATATTTGGGTTAATACGTAATGGTGTTGATTAAAGGCCAATGATGGGCAAGTTTCTGGTTCAACCTTGGCTTACAATTTGATTAATAATAATAGTCTGGACGGAAACGGATCATGATTGTAACGATGATCATGGTAATGATTATGTTAATGATGATGATGTTACAATGTAATAATGTTGTTGCTGAATAAAGTTAATGGTAAATTAATCAAGTAATGGTGTTGAAATGTGTTGATCGGGTAAGACTGATACATAAGGAAAGTGAATTAAAGAAGAGCTTTTTTCTTTCTAATATTAATAATGATAATAATAGATGTTTAACCATGTACAGTGAAGATGGATGGTGATGATGATCAGGACGAATCTTTGATAATCATGGAAATGGCAATGGAACAGGAACAAATTGTTGAGAAAAGGTTTCATCTTTTGCCTTATTATTTCTTAACCTCATCATCTTCACTTGAAGCAAAATGTTACCTCATTATATCCATTGATCCCAAGAGCGCAACTAACAGTTATCCATTTAGTTGTGTTCAATAATTTTATTTTGCTCAATGGATTTGGAAAGTAAGAGAGAGAGAAGACAAGAAAGGAATCATCATGATTATGATGAGAATGATGATAATCATGATGGTAATAATGTTTGAACAGACAGATGGATAGATAGACACTTGAACAGCAACAACAGATGAAAATATGGATACAAAGTGATTGGTTGATAAAGCTAAATGGCTAGAGAGTCATTCAGAGACATTTCAGGATAGCTCAGAATGTTACAGATTATTCTTTTCTTTATCGTTTCCAATAGATAAATATTTCAAAAAGTAAAAGATGAAAATGAAAATATTGCCTTCCATTGCCTTTCAAGTAAAAAAAGAGATGAAAATGAAACATCATTTCACCCATTTTTACCTTTTCATCTTAAGTTGGTAAAAAAAGCTGCTAATCAATTGCTGTAAATAATACAAATCAATAAGTCAATGAGCCAATGAATATGCAAACAAACCGATTGGACAATAATGAACCAATATTGGGTATTGATTGTAATCAATTATTTGGTTTAATCATTAAATCTCATTTTGGTGTGAGAAACAATCAATATGTTTGCCTTTGATGTTTCATCAAAAAAAGGAAACTTCAATCTCCATAATGATTATGGAAGAACGATGTCAGCAGAATCGGAATTATACTCGAGATTGAAAGACTTTAAAATAGCAAAAAGGTCAACAGTCAAAGTGTGCATTTAATGATGATTAATCAGATTATTGAGATGATCCATTAACACCTGAATTGAGCATTTCTCTTTTAATCACAAATCGGTAAACACTTGCTTCTCTATTGCTTCAGTTGTAGCCATTTCTATGTATTTTCATGACTAAATTATTGCTCAAAATTAATCAACTTTCCTGTGAGAATTCAATTTCAACTTGATCATTATCATGATCACCATCAAGTTGATGATTACCATAGAAACAAATTAAAAATAAACATTCATTTTCATTAACAAATGGTAATGATGTAGATGAAGCTGATAGAGAATGGTTTTCTGTTGATTATTGATTAGCAAGTGAAAAATTAAAGTTAATTATCGAGAAGCAACAAAATTGAAGCAAACTGGTAACAGAAATTAATTCACAGTTATCTTTATGGTTCATGTTTGCCTTGATTGTTTTTGATCAACTGAACGTGTTACTCCATCATCTTTCATTCATCTTAATCATTTCAAATGCTTCGCTTGTTTCACCATTCATTTTCACTTTTCCCATTTTACTCCTGTTAATCTCCTGGTTTTTCAGGGCTTGTTTTTTTACTTTTCACGATTAGTTGATTCACGTTCTGGTTCCTAGTTTCACTCAACACACAGAATCAAAAGCTTTTACAAAGGAATACATTTTTTTTGTTCACTTTTTTTGCCAACAAAATGTCAACTCATAGACAAAAAATCGTTACCAATGAAGGCTTTTCAGTACGCGATTAAAGCTCATCTCATTTTGTCTTTAACTTCAAGTGAATCTACCATGAACAGGCAAAAGCCTTGGCTTTTCAATCATATTGTCTACTTTCTGGTCCATTTTCTGGTCTGATTGGTGTTGGTAACATTGGGTTAATTGGACAACTATTTAAGTTTATTTCCATCCTTACTCCATTCTGGTTTAGGTAAAAACAAAAATCTGGTAAAATCAATAATGCAAATCATCAATATTTTCTGGTATTTTTTGAAAATAGCTGGTTTTGTCATTTGTTGTGTTTTTTTTCTTGGTTAAAGGTAGCACAAAAACAACAAGCAAGTTGAGCTGTTAATCAATGTTAATGAACAAATTGAATGTAAACAAGAAAAAAATGACACAAAATCAGGAAATGAAGTTGAAGACATGACCAAAAAAGATGAAACCAGAAAATGACAACAAAATAGGTAACAAGAAATGATGATAATGATGATGGAAGAGAAGTTATTTCAACAAGATTTGCTAGTAATTGTCAATCAAGCGAGTATATTTTCATCAGCAAATGTTGGATGAATCACACAGCAATCACACTGTCAATCTGGCATTTGGTTTAATCTATTTACTCACCAACAATTATTTGTATTGATCAATTGAATTTAGTTAAATTATCAAACTTACCAGAAGCATTGAAACTGATGGTGGACCAATATTCAACATTACTACCAATCAATGGGTAAAAAGCGCAATACGCATATAAGGTAATAAATACACAACACACACCAATTATTAATCTGGTAAACAAGTCAACAGGAGGTTTGTAAAAATGGTTGTAACAATGTATTGAATAATGTAGATTTGATTGTGTAGATGGCTTGATCAGGTTGATGGTTGGTTGGGATGATTAAAATTGAAAAATGTAATGCAACTGTAAAAAGGTAAAATGGCAACTTTGTATTACTGTATGGCTGTAAAAGTATACAATGTTTTTGTTTCTTTCCTCTCTTTCTTTTTCTTCCTCTTTTTGCTGTTATATACTCTGAGCTGTGTATGTGAATGTGTATGATTATATTCACATTGACACTGTGAGGAGAAGTAAATAGTAATCTGAACTGGTCTCTGAAGAGTGGATTGAAACTGGCTTTATTTCCAGTATAAAATCACATTGAGTTGCGCACAAAATTGACGTTCAATAATTCAATCAGTCACTGATAATTCAAGCCTCTTAACTCTTTTTTTTAAGTGATACCAAGTGAATTAGATGAGAAAGTAAAATCAATGGATAACGAGGTGTTTACACTGGTTTGATAAAAACAAATTGGAAACGGAGAAATAAAAACAACGCCAAGTGTGATAAATCCAAAGATTACCAGGTTAGACTTGTTAGGTTGCCAAGCTCAACTATACAGTCAATGTAATACTGAACCCAATGAAATAATATACTGTGAAACATGATAAAGGCATGTAAGGCTGTAGGAAATAGAGTAAAAATGTTGCTATTAGATATTGTCCACATTGTAAACTTATAAGATTAAAATGTCTCTTACCATGAAAAAAGCACTCTTTTGAATAAAACCAGGTTTATAATCTGATTTCATTGGAAGCTCCTGTTGCTGGTTAAACGTTCAACACATAAGATATTTGTCAATCAATGGTTCAAAAAATCATTTAGACTGGTAAAGTGCTTCACTTTAGCCATAAACTATCAAATCTTATTTCCATAAAAACAAACCCAAGCTTTGGCCAAACTAAATGTATTTAAAAGTTGGATAAACATGAAATTAGTAAAGTCCAAGTATTACCTTTCCTTGCTTTGCCTTGTAATATACCAAGATGACAACCAGAGACAACGAAAACAATTAATTCCCAGTAATTTAAGGTAAAATAAGATAAGATAAACTAAACGTAATAACAAGCACAAATAAAATAATTAAAAATGATAACATCAATGTAAGAAAGTAACTTTATTTTTTTATTTACGCCATAAGTAGATACCGTAAATGATAGATGGAAGCACAAGTCTAAGCCAAAATTTTCATCTCAACCAGAATTGAATGTTCAGCAATCTGATTCAAAGCTATCAAATTATTTATTGAAGCTCTTCAATCTAATTTTAAAATTAGCTTTCAGTTTAACTACTTTTAATTCAAGTTAATTAATCAGAAAAAAGTAAAATAATTCCTTATAAAGTTATTTATGTCCTTCTAAGTATTTTTACCGAAAATTTATAGACCTCGACAAAAATAACCAACGAGATGTCAATTCATGAAGATTGGTGTTAACCTGATACTGATGATAGATTTCATCAGTATCAGGTTAAATTGTTGCAAAATTAGTCTAATATAAGTTGAAATAAGAAATATCTTTGGACCAAAAAATAGAGAAAATTGGATTCACTGAACGAATCAAATTTCCGATGGGAAAATTGATACCAAAAACATGAACAAATTAAGATGATTGCGATTGCATTGATTAATTGAGAAATTGTTGGTGTTAACAGGAAATAACAATTCAAGTTATGATTGGTTAATAAAGCTTCAAGTGTTTAACTGCCATCGGTTACAATAAAATCAAATTGAGAAAATTTCCAGAAATTAAAATGAACATTGAATGGCAACAATCTGCGCAATCTGTAAATGCAATTTACTTAGTTGATCAACATCAAACATTAACCAATTGTTGAGTTAAACGTTGAATCAACTCATAAAAAAACACTGAATTTGGTTGACATAAATGGTAAATGAATGTTACGATGGATTTAAATGGGTGACAGTCAATAAGCCTTTGAATTAGGAAATGACAAATCAAATGTTGCAGTCGATTGTAATTAGCTAAACGTTTCATCAGATCAACAAAAAATGGACACAATTGATTGGCCTTTTCACTTCCATGAGACAAGTCAATGATGAGGCAAAATGAAAGTTAATCAAAGTCTAGATTAATCAACTGGTGCTGAGTATTGAGGAAGAGACGAAGGGATTTGAGTGTAAAATTTTCATTATTAAACAATAGAAAGGATTTAATTTTGTTTAAAATTTAATTTTTTCGAGTTTCGATTTTTATTTTACAAAAAAAAACAAATTGGTTCAAATTGTTAACAATATTATTTGCTGTGTTTGCTTTATTAAATAAATTTATTGTTTTTACTCAAAGATTTAAGGCTTTGTTTTTTGTTTCACTTTAGCTTTGGCTTTATGTAAATCTGTAAATGCAAGGAAAGAGTAACAAAAAAAAGTCAATTAGTAAATTGAAAAGAAAAGATAAATTGTGAATCCTGATTAAGCTGATTACTTACTTCATTAATTAGAACCCATTTACTAGAATCGACGTGACAATGAATTCTGAGCATCTTTACTGCACCTAAATGAGCACAAGAACCTTCAGCAATCCCTGTTGACTTGAAATCAGCAACAACCACAAAACCATCGGACGTCCGGTTGTATTGATTAGTTAATTGAACTTTATCAGCTTGACTGAAAGAGCCAGATGCTTGATCAAAGGATGGATGTGAGTTGGATGGAGATGACTGTAATGACATTAACAATGAAGATGAAGATGATAACTGATTAGACGGTACAATATCGGGTGGCGGAGGCAGAAGTTTAAAGAGTGGCTGAACCTCAACCGTAGTATTGTAAAACTTGTCCTCCGGATGCTCATAATTGGAGGTTCGTATGAAAAACTTGTCAATCACAATTGGATCAGTAAACTCAATGAGTATGTAATCACCCGCCTTGGGTGAAATGCCCCAAAAATAAGTGTAACCCTCGTAGACACCAGAAGCAGAGAAGGTTTTGTACTGTTGAATGGTTGAGGTTACAGTTGCTGAAGGATTATCAGTGTGAGCCTGAAATCCTGAAACTTTACCAAAGCTCTTCTCTTTCAACTTTTGAACTTTTCCCTTCAGCGAGGAATGTGTTCCAATGTGTTGAAACAGTGAAGGCCAATGTTGAATCCAATGGCGTGAAATGGCTTGGCGACATTGTTTCTCCGTACCATCGGTTCGGCAATAGCGAACGTTACCAATTGAAAAGAGCAACCAGTCAACAGGCTTGTCATTGTGAAACATAATGAAAAAGATGATTAAAAAGGGAAGGTCAACGGCTTTAACCATTTTACCGATGAACCCGAGACTACAAAAGTCAATGATGAACCAATCTTTGCGTTCAGCTGTGTGCTTAAGAGCTGTGGTCTTCATTTTGGTCAAAAATCCTGGTTCGGTTATAATGTCATCTTCCAATTGAACATAATAGACTCCTCTTGACTGACAGTACATCATTAAATAGGCAAAATCAAGGTTTTGTTTGGTTCGCCATTTAACTCGATCCATTGGATCGCCCAGCGTCTGTTTAAGGCTTGAATTAAAGTCAGGATAATAGGCAGCAGAGGGTGAAATTATCTCCAATAAACCAGAGTCGATAAATTCACTGAATTCACCTTCCAACTCAGCCACTTGCTTCTTAACGTGAACCATGTCAGTCTAGACAAAACCAAAAAAGACCAGAAAAAAAGTATTAAAATAATGCATTCAAATCAATATTAATGGAAAGGTTCAATCAGTCATTTGTCTGGTTTCAAACCTAAAAACACCAACACTTATTCATTACTTGAAACCCAAGAATTACTAGAGACAATTAACTAACTGCAAGGAACAGCCTGAAATCAAATGTCATTCATTGGTAAATCGTCTCATATTGATAAAACCATCAAAAGTGAATATGAAAATCTGAAAATAACATTAGAAAAAGTGAAAAGGTAAATTGTTTTCTTTTTTCATCATTGATCTTTTTATCAATAATGTGAAGGTAAATGTGAATCTGTAGATGAAACTTTAGAGACTCATTCATCAGTATTCACATTCAACCCTTATTATGCATCAATCACAAGATAATTCAACTCATCTATTTATTCATTCAACGTTGGTTTGCTTGTAAAAGAGCAAAATAAATCAACAAAAGATTCCCGAATTTTGTTTCTAAGTGCTTTTTTTGTTCAAATGATATTTCATTTGACGATGGTTAAGTATCACAAAGAAACTCTGTAATGAGTAAACATCAACAAAATTAATAAATCAAGGTTAATGCTAATTACATTGAAATGCATTCAAGTTGATTTAATGAATAGCAATAATTGATGAATTCGTAATGTAACTTAGTTTCCTTTTTTCCTCTCAAATCAATTAATCATGAATTGTTACAATCATACTTATCAACAGCATCATCCCAAGATTAAATAATTAAAATAATAATCAATTCAAGAAAAATTTCCATTCATAATCAACCATTTTGTTCATGTTTAAACATTGAATGGAAGAAGTTAATTCCTTTGAATATCATTTTAATATTGAAATTTGAAGAAGCATTGAAAATGTTGATTTTCATTTAATTTGGTTAAAACAGCGCAAAATTGTAAAGGTTGACATGAAGTTGAATTAATTGAAACATCAAACATAAATCACGTCTAATTGTTGACTGGCAATTGATGAAACTCCCATTAATATTAATCAATTTATGATTATGATGTTAAGAAGATTAAAAAATGTGAAATTGAATCTTCAGTTGATTAAAACTGGATTAAAAAAGCAAATTGATTCAAGATTTCACAGAAAAGTTCAAGGTTTTAAGATTCTTACTAAAGAGATTTAAGATTTAATATCATTTACTAACAAGATTTGGCCAACCCTGAGATTGAAAAGATCATGAAAAAACATGATATTAACATTGAGCATTGAACATACTAAAGAAGTAAATACAAAAATTTTCCTTTCGAGTTAAGAATTGGGACTTTGTGGGGTTTTAAGGGTGAAAAAAGTGTTCGATCGTTGATGTGGACTAACCATTTTTATCGACGAATAAAAAGTTTCAGCTCTCTAACTCTTAGGTCACCCGGAGGTTTAACCGAAAATCGAAGTGATCTGTTGTGCGGATACAGAAAATTTGATTTCATGAAATAAGTGCATTTTCTGGTTGATCATCAAAGTTACATAAAACTTGTTCCTTGGAAAAGATGAGAAAACAAAATCGATTGAAAGCTTTCTGTTGGCTTCAGTGATTTACAAAAATTGCATCAATTTGAAATGAATCCATTTGGTTAATACTCTTGAGCTATCTGACCAGATGAATCTGAAAACAATCCCAACATTTAAATGGTGAAAATGGAACAATTTGTTTTATTGGAAAATCTTTTTATTCGCAATCAAAATCTTATCCAGACTCAATATTGAATGAAAATTGGAGCAAAATATCACAATCATGAAATGAGTTGAATTTGAATAAATAAATAAATCGATAAAAATGGTTAAATTTACAATAATTTTGTTTTACTGCATTTACATAGGAAATGTTAATGTAAAAAGTAAATAACTTTTTCTTTACCAAGTTCATGAGCATTTGCATGATAAAAGTTTACAGAATAATATCATTTCTCATAATCATTATAACAACATTTCAATCTGTAAATGGATCCATTTAAAGTTAATTTCACTGGAAATGTTGATTCTTTCAAGCAATTGATATTTAAAACAATGAAATTAAACTTGAAATTAAAGAGCTTTCCCATCAACACAAAATAGTTGATTTTCTTAGTAAAGCTTGGTTTTTTGATCATATGTTTGATCAAAACCAAGCTTTACTATTTCCATCAAACTTATCTAACTAAGCAAAAAGACACGCGCAGTTATGTGAATGAAAAATTGGTTTATTATTTTATTTAAATAAAAGTGATTTTTGATTGTGTTTGAAATTAATTTTTTATCTTGGAGATGGCGCTCTAAAATTAGGCAAAAAATTGTTTTTAATTAAAATTGACTTAATTTAACTAATAAGTACTTACATGTACTTAGTATCACTATTAAAAAACTTTGATGGGAAAGCCCCTAACTCTAAAGACTCAATCCAATTAGAATCAAAGGAAAGAGAAAAAAAGAAAAACGTAATTTAATTTGAAAATAATTTGAAAGGTTAATTATAGCAATTAATAAATGAATGCTAAGAAAAAAAAGTTATAAATAATATCATTTTGTAAGTTTTTGCCTTTGTTAATGAAACCAATTAGCTTTCATTGTTTCAATGGCAACTATCTTGAGCAAACACTTATTCAATCTGATGAAAGGATTGAAAAAAATTGGTTCAATGATTAAGTGAGGAAATAATTAAAAGTAAAAAGGGTTAACAGTGCATTCAATATAACCTGCAAATATTTAGTTTGTTAATCAGTTTCATTGAGTTGAATGCAAATGGATGAGATTAATGCAAGATTAAGATTGAAGGGATTGACATTAAATAAGTGGAAACATTTGGTTGGAAAGTATCGGAAAGAGTAAAATAAATCATCTAATTGATAATGATTCATGTTAATGTAAATTGCCATTTTGATTTATCATTTTTGGTAAGCGAAATGTTAACCCATTTAGATTACATTATCATGTAATGCTGTAACGATGAAACAAAAAGGATAAATTGTCTTCTCATTCAAAGTGAATATTTCATGCTCAAGATGATCATCTAAATATAGTTTTGTCTTCTCGAGACAAATCAAACAGATTTTGTATCAAATCGTCTAATATTGATTTGAGCATCAGTTAAGCAATTCGTTTCAAGATAATTTCATGATTCAAAGAAATGAAAATAAAGTCAGATATTAGAGGAAATGTTTAGTTTTTAAACCATGAAAATTGAATACAATTATGTTTGCATAATTTAGATTGATTGTTGGAAATGCATGGAAATATTTCGTCTGGAAATTTTCTAAACCTTTTCAGTGTTTCAGAAAGCTTGATTTTTAAGTCAATGAATCATTTAAATTCTGATGAAATGATGCCATTGAATCACAAGATTCACCTTTGAAGTTCAAGAATTGCATTTACGAAAAAATTGGCCGAAATCGTGTTCAATGATTAGAAAGAAAAGGTTGAATTTAGATTGATCAGACGGACGAAAAGTAAGATTTGTTGAAAAACAAAAAGACATTTTCAAAAGTAAAGATTTTTTTGATTTGTTTCAACTGAACTGGCAGAAATGGCATGAAACTGTCAACATTTAAAGTAAAATAAAAATGGTTGAAACGATATTGAACATTATTTTATGTAAAAATAGACAATCGAAGGATAAAGACGAAACTAATAGAGAAACAACAATAACAACGAAATGATATTGTAATTGAATAATGGTGAAAAGAAGGGAAAAAGAGACAGAACTGACAAAATAATGTTGTTGACAACGATAAATGAAGTAATATAAGTTTGGATTACAGTTATAACAGAAAGATATTAAATAACAATGAAAAGTGTCTGATCGATTGAAAACAAAAAGGAAAGTTAATAATGCAGATAAATAATGATTAAGGATTGGCGATTGTTAATTGATGACTTTTGCTGCCGTAAAACTGGACACAAGTGTAAATGAGTTGCATTTAATGTCAATTTGCTTTTCCTAAATCAATTGATTGGAAGAGCATAAGTTTAACTCTTTGCCTTCAACTTACAATGGATTTACATTTTTTAACCATTTGGCTTTTTGAGTCAAGAAAACGAAATGTAAAAATGATAATCAAATGAACATGATCAGTCATGATGCAGAGGATGATAAGATAATGGATACGCTCTGGTAAATTTAAATTCCAGTTGATTGCATGATTGTCAAGATAACAATGTTTTCCTTTTTTACGTGAATTAATGAAGTTACTCTTTTGCTATGGTGATCAACTCATGATGAATGAATTAGAATATTTTTTCATCTTTTTTACCAAGAATATTAAATTATCAGAAAAAAGGCTTTTTCTTGTGTTTTATTTTTTCATGAATGCAAACTGTTCAGTGATAAAGGTTTAATCAAGTTGAAACAATGAAGGATGAAAAGGATAATCACGCAATGACAAGTTCATTTTGAGAGTCGGTTAAAGGCATGAAGAAAGGCACAAGAAAATATATAATATAATAATCTGAGGATATAATAATGTTCAACATGAACATCATGATTGTCAGAGGAAACAAAGATGATGAGGAAAGGAAGAAACTTGAAGGAAAAGGCAAAAAGTTTTGCTTGTAATTTTTTCTTCTTCTCAAAGGAGACTTTTCTTCGAGAATCAAATTCAACTCAAGGGAATATGTAATAACAATGAAAGGCTCATAGGAAGATGTTCATTGGTGAGTGAAGAGGAGATTGGTGGATGAATAAGTTCATTTAAGATGGGCGAAAAGTGTTGATCAACAAACATTTAGTGACCTTCTCATGTCAATCATGTTTGCCTATTGACGTTAATTGTGTTCATCAGAGAATCGAAAATCTGTTGGAAACAATTTTCTGTCTTTTATGGCCATTTTCATCATTCCAATTATTCTGTGAATAGATTAAAGATTTATTGGTTCAATTGATGGCTTCTGGGATTGAGTGAGAAGAAAAAATAACCTGAAAAATTAGGGTTTAACAATTGGATTAACAGTCAATGTTATTATGTGAAAACTGGAGGTCAGTCTTTTCAATG